GTTACCTAAATACAGTATAATACTGTAAGATTAACCTTTTCGATGTCCAGCCTGTCAGAAATATTAAAAGCTTCATCAAAGGGGCCAGCTTTGAATAGTGGTTTGTTGTTGCGACAGTTGCTAAAGTAAAAAAGGTAAAACAAAAATGAAACACAGTCATAACTATGCATAAGAAGTTCCTGTTCATGAAGAGATGACAAAATGTTTGAATGGTGAGGGGATGGTATTCTACATTGCACACCTGAGTTAGTTAGTAATTTACTGAGGAAATCACAGTTCTCTATTGGAACTGACATGCATTTATTGACCTTGAAGCTTTCTTGAAAGCTTGCATGTGAATTACACTCCAAACTGTTTTGCACTGCAGAACACCACTTGTGATGGTAAAAAGGTTGATATGCTGATCTTAATCCACATTTCTGCACATTTTAACTGTGAAATACGACTGCAATTACTCTTTAGTGTAAGAAATATCTTCCGCATATACCCACAATATAATATTAAACAAACATTTTTTATAGGTGAGAACAAAGTGAAAAAATGTCAGAAGCAGGAAGCATCACTCACTCAATGAATCCGCCGATGGTGAAACGTATGTCTGACTTATCTTTACCAAAAAAGGTTCTTGACAAAACATATCCATCATCACCCCAAAACTTCTGATTATCAAGAACCTGAAAATTATATTTTGATTAGAAACAAACTAATGTCAGAATTAATACTAATTAGCTCTATCATATCACAATGTTCATGATTTCAATATTTGCCACAAAATGACACAGCCATAAATCTTTTACACTTTTTAACCCTGGATGCATGTAATTAATAGCAATTAATGTACTTGTTAATTCCTAAAATTGGTAGAACATGTTGGACACCGTTTGCCTATAAGCCCCTCCCATTCCCACTTTTAGCCCCCCTTCCCCCTCGCCCCCCATCAACTTGTTAATGAAAACAAAATACATCTGATTAGAAGCACTTCTGGATATTAGCCCCAACTCTCTTTTAGGAGATATTATTACTAATAATTACTAAGATAATATTACTCTTGCTAGTTTGGTTAAAAGCCCTCTCAGATGTAGGCTTCTCTGTTTATAAGCCCTATTAAAACCCATTACAAAGTTGTATCAGTCCAGGGCTTAGAAGTAGCTGTTTACCATAAGCAACTGCCTTCTGGCCTAAAAGAGGTTCTTCTAAGACTTCCAGACCCCCAAAATCATTTTTGATTGGGGTAAAGGTGCTAGCCATGCATTTTTCAATTAGGCTGCTTGCTTGGACTCACTGATTACATGTAATATTAAGATAGGTGTTCACACAAACCTGAGAGTACAGTTCTCCAGAATCAATAGCTGTACACACTGTTTGCATTGGTGCTCCAATAATAAAACAGATTGTAGTCAATAGCATCAAAAATGATGCAAAAATAAAACAGAACCCAGCAGCACTATAAATGAAAATAAGAAACAAATTAGAGAAAGACAAGTTTTATTGTTTTCAGCTACTACTGAAAAGGTAAATCAGAACTTGGTTGGTATAGGACAAGTTTGCTTTGGAAAAAATTAATTTTTTACTTCATCAAAAAGAGTAACCAAGGGATTACAGCACTTCTAGCATTTGAGATTCCAAAGGGTAACTTAAGCTCCCAAGACCTGTCTTCAAACATACCTACAATTTGGGGCTGTCCTGGTGTACCGGTACACGAGGGAATTCCTTTTGTTTTCATAACCATACATGGAGTTATGATGCAGTTCATTAATGTTTCCTTCCTTTGTGTACCGGTACACGAGGACACAACCTACAATTTGATGTCAAATGCTGCCATTTTGAATATTTCTTAGTAATCTTTGCTTATCTGGTACATAGAACACAACATGGCTGCCCTAAGACCATAGAACCAGAGAGAATTTTATAAAAACAAAGAAGCCTGAGGCCAAAGCAAAAGCATTCTGGAACGTTTTGGTTTCCTTCATTAGAGTTGAATTCTGGGAAAGTATGGGCTAGGATTCTAAGCTGTTTTCAAATGTGCAAATTTTTAGCACATTTGCAGACAATTTTCCAAGGCAACTCTTTGAAATTTAAAAAGGCTATCAGCATATTTTGAAATGGAGCATAGCATGTATGTTAGAACATGGAAAATCAATAAAATGTTTCTTACGCCATTAGAGAAAGACCTCCCAAGTTAGACACTGTACCCCGCGTGGTTGGTACAGCTTCCTTGTCGTGACCACAGACACCACACATCAAGCCAAGAGCCATCAACACCACAACAAGGAGAAGAATGCAAGTCAACCCAACACCAGCCATCCATCTGAAAATATAAGTTCCACATTAATCCCAGATTTATGCATAAGATAACTAAAATACCTTGGTAAATGAAAATTCCTTTCCTAATGATTTTTCAATCTATAAATCCCCTAAATCACCATCCTTTCCATCCATATTCAATTTGAAGGGAATACTCAATCCATTCTAAAGAGTCAAAATCTTTTTCTGTGTCATGCAAAGTCAATAGCAATAGTGCCCAGTTCAGTACCAGAAAAATATGTGAATCAGCCCTAGCAGGACTGGAGATAAAGCAATCTGAATGGTAATTTTAGTTACTAAACTCCACCATTAAATGGCATTTGCTTTGTACTAAGAGGTTTACTGCTATCCAGCATTTTTTACAATTTTTTTTCAATTACATATTACACTCATCTAGACAATTGCAGACTGTACATTGAAACATGACTGATGCAGTTAACAAATTGTGTTATTACTGCAAAGAACATTAAAATTTAACCAAATGGTCATTATCTTCTCCTAATTTTTCTGACAGTGTTCTGATGGTTCACTTTACCTGTAGTTGTCATATTTTTCTGCTTGTTCTTTGGCTTTTGGAACAGTATCAGTTTTAAATTCCTCAAGCTTTGAGATGACATCCTATTAACAAGAAAAAAAGTCAGTAATATCAGACCTGGCCTAGTTGTTGAAGGGTGGACCATGCTATCCACTGGATCAATTTCTATCCAGTGGAGGACCAAACAAGTTTTAAAAAGACTTATCTGCTGAATAACGCTCTATCCCTTTCATTCACCCATCCACCCTTTGAACAACTGGGCTGGCAGTTGACTGTCTTAACCCTTTCACTCTCAAGATCTAATAAGTAATTCTCCTTACTATCTACCATACAATTCTTATGTTAGTTCAGAGAATTTGGTATTGGATCAACTAATAATCCCATGATTGGTATTCTTCTCTATTCTCATCACCTGCCTGCTTGATATTGTATTGATATTGTAAGGAGAAATTCTCTCTTGGTCACTTGTGGGAGTGAAAGGGTTAAGACTATACTTTTTAGTTTTTTTCTTTAACACCTGACTTTGTCTTTCTCGAAATAAAAACCAAAATATCTCCAATAGAACACAATCCATAACTACTGCATTGTTGTTTGTATAACTAAATACATATGTTGAGCTGAAGACCCACATCATTTGCAATTTTCTTAAGATCATCTCTCATCTTGTTGACACTGCTAGTTGCATTGCTAATCATCTTGCTAATATCTATATAAAAAAACAAACAACAAAACAAAAAAGCAGAGAAAGATTACTTTTATCATCAGATTTACAGTGAGTAATTTCCATTTCCATTTCCAACTTCAAAATATGTCTATCATAGATTAGGTAACTAGTGACAGAAAATTAATTTTGACAGGTCTTTCTAAATGGTGATGGCTGCTGATACCTTTAACTCATGATCAGTCACATGCCTCTTGCACTTGTATGTTAAGAACTACAGGTTGTTTTAAGAAAACTCACACTACCTGCGAGTAAGTTTCTCTAACCTCATCACAGAATTAAATTTTCTTTCACATAAAGAACACATTTACATGTACCTCTTCAACATATTTAATGGTGAACCCCACTCTCAGTAATAAGGAAAAAATATTACACACAATCTGACTATACATTTAAACATCAAGCATTAATTGTTTCAGTTCACAGTGGAAAGGAGTCACTTGTATGTTGAGTCAAATTAAACCCTCAGACCTTTTTCCTTATTTCCTATACAATCAACATCATGATGTTTAATTAGACTTGCTTCATACTTGTAACAAGACTTTTCTTATTAAACAACACTTGCATCTCTTGATATGAGGATCTTAAAAAATATAGATAAGTCATTTTGTGTGGTACATTAAATTGTATTTGGACATAATTTGATCATAATGAACAAATTCTGTGTTCTGTTTACCTTTTCGTGTGTCACTTGTGTCATTGATGACCTTTTGGGGAATTTCCCTTACTTCTGCAAGTCCCTGTGATAAAATAGATAAATGTATGAGGCTATTACTGACAGAAATCTTTCAATACACTTCAAAACAATGCATCTCAAGAAATGCTACAACTTCAATCAACAACCTTCTCACTTCATTTGTACCTTATCTTAATTTGTTCCAATTTTTATCTCATTTCTAATAATACTAACACTAAAATGGAAGTGATCCTTGCAGCTATGAACACTACTGAAGTAGTAGTTGAAATAAGGCCTGAAAAAAATTCAGGCCAGTATGGGATTTGAACCCATGACCTCTGCGATACCAGTGCAGAGGTCATGGGTTCAAATCCTGTACGTGCCTGAATTTTTTTCAGGCCTTATTTCAACTACTAGTTCAGTAGTTCAGTAGTGTTCATAGCTGCAAGGATCGCTTCAATATTCGTTTCTTCAACTGCAGTGCACATATATGATTTTCATATATTTACAGCCAATACCAACACTGCTAATCCTCCCTTTTTTTTCACATACAGTTGTGTTGTCGTTGTTAACCATCTTCTGCCATATTGGCAGTTTTCCTTTTATCCCTTCTTGTAACCAGGGCCATTCTTTTTTGACACCCAATCTGTAAAAGCCACGTGGTCTAGTGGGTTTACTGCCATTTCCAGATACAGTATTTCAAATCAGAATCTGTAAATTTTAGAATTTTTGGTGCACATAACAACATCAAAGATATCGATGGTTTAATGTAAAGAGGAAATAACTTACTTCTTCCGCTGTCTTCTCAAAGTCCTGGTTTACAACCTTTTCAACATTCTCAAGTTCTGATGAAACATCAGGAAGAGCTGTAAAGTTTGCCCCAGTAGCCAGATCATCTGAGTTTATATTATCGCAGGTAGGCTTAACACTTGGTACATTACTGCAATTTTTCAGAATATCTGTCAAGTTGTCCTTAACCTCATCCAGGCCCTCTTGAAGTTCTTTCGTCAAGTTTGACAGACTTTGGCTGGTGTTTTTGATGATCTCAAGTTGATCCTTCATTCTTTGAGTGTCTAATAAAATGACATTTTTTAAGTAATCAGAAAGAATAAGGTTCAAAAATACATTTCAACCCTCATAATTTTTTAAACAGAGCACAGATTTGTTGCTTAACACCACATTTATGCCACTGTGCCAATGTACACAGTTCATCTAAGAGTCAAAGACACTCTTTAGGAATTTTTATGTTTCAAGCAAAATTGGAAATATTCTTAGAAAGAATCTTTCAGGAAATGGAGTACACTTTGGCGACAAAAGCTGAGTACATTGAAAATGTCATAACATTCAAGTGTTTGCCCAAGTAATAGACAGATCAAACACTACACCAATAGAAAATCAGTTGGAGAAAAACTTCTTGCCTCTAAAGTCAGCCACTTTTTGAGTTTCGTGTTGTTGTGCAAGTTGTATACATGAGTAGATATGATCTTTCCCACAACAATTCACTGTTTAACATCTTTCAGAAATTATTATATGCAGACGTAGTCCTGAGTTAGGTAAGGATTTTGCCATATGGACCATATCCACAATAATCAACACAGAAAATTCTAAATAAGCGAGTTTAGTCCCACTGCTACTTGACTAGCTACTTATTAAACTTGTTTGCTCCAGCCATGCTAGTGAATATTGGTCCTCAGGTGTTTTGATATGAACCTTTCTACCCTTGATCCATACTACCAAGACCAGGGCCACCAGTCCTCATACTTGGTTGTTAACAAGTTATTTTACATGTATAAATTGAGTTTGCCCATTGTGTTAACAATATATAAGACTTGAACATATAATAGTGTACTCACTCGCAGCCAAATCCTTTACTGCTTCTATAGGCTTAACAGAGACTTTGTCCAGCTCTTCCAGTAGAGGGCCACCCACAAGACTTCGAAGACTTGCATCAGTTATGTCCTTTTTCAACTGATCAATGACAAAACCAAAGTCTTCACCTAGGAGTTTGTCAACTTCCTATGCACAGATGAAAAGAAAAAAAGGAATCAATGTGTGATAAAATTCTTTTTTGTTTTTTTTGTATATTTTCCTGTACTCAGGCTCTTACTGAGACTTGCATGCTATAACTGGTCAATGGTTATGACACATTGCAATTCATAAAATAACTAAGACACTACAGGCACCTGATTGTAGAAAAAAGCTAACCTTCATTGCACCAGTAAACCCATAGTTACACTATTTTATAAAAAAATAGAATGCACTTGTTGTCAGTTCACTGCCATAATTACCCACTTGGAATGTTGGGAGAACATTTGAAAACTTGCCTCTGGCTTGTGATTTTCAAACAGTCCTTTCAATATCCCATAGGGGTTATAATACTGGTAAAGCCATAAAAAAGGGGCAGTCTACATGTATTGCTTGAATAATCAAGTGGTCAGAATCAGACAAAGACTATTGATGATGCTTGGGACTCCATTGCTCATGGTTTAGTCAAACCCTAGATTCTTGGTATCAGACTGTATTTTCCACATCAGAGAGCTAGCATTGTGTTTGATTGGCCTTCCCTTTCAACTTCTAATTGCCACAAATTATTGAAATAGTCAAGAAAAAAAATTAAAAAAAAAAAAAAAAAGATCTCAACTTACCCCAACTGAACGGTTAATAAATGTGACTGCTTCCTTTACAATAGCATCTGAGTTGATTTGCATCTCGTCAACAGTTTCACTCATGCGATCATTGCAAACAAATGTCAACAAGACCCCAGTACTGGAAAAAAAAGTTACAAGACAGTTTATCTAGTTGCAAAAGTCAAACAACAGCACAATGGGCTTAGGTTAACCACTTAATTCCCAAAAGTGATTCACATGCAACTTCTCTCTATAATACCAAAACATTATCCTGTAAAAAAAGTATCAAAAATACTCAAATCTATCAAGTAGAAGTTGTTATTTTGATCTAACACCAAATTTTCACACCTAATTTACAAGGAAATGTATAGCAGATAGAGGAGAGAATTTGCAATCAGATCTTGGTGGTTGAAAAGTTAACCCTTATGAATTCAAGAGTGACCAAGATCTATGTATTACATTATCAAAACATTTTCAAGCAATCCCATGTTAAGAAAACACATAAATATCCACAAGGGGATTTTGTTTGGTTTAGCACCAAATTCTCAGAGGTACAATTATAGGAAGTGTATGGCAGAGAGCTCTATGAATTGATCTTTGGATCAGTCTAGGAAGATCATTATTTGGCAAAGAAAACCATCCAGTTGAGGAGACTTGGCACAGACAGGCAAAAAGCCAAAAAGATGATTAAAATGAAACTCAAGCTCAAGGTGTTAAACGGAAATACAGGCACCAGTTGACAGCTGCTGTTAAGAAACCAATCATAGCAGTGTAGTGTACCCTAAGTACTGTGTTTCAAAAATCATTTCTTGCTCCATCTTACATGAAAGTTCCATACAACCAGCAGAGGTAACACAATTGTAATTACCATTTTAAGGTGAATCTGAGATCTTTCCAAAAGAGAGGAATGGTCATAGCACACACAGGAGTGACTCTACAGATTGCTGCTCACAATAATCAATTAAACTCTTAAAAAAGTAAAGTTAAGTATGAGACATTAATTTTTCACTGATAAGTTTGTTACTTACAACATCAGAAGTGTGATCACTGTAAGAATCACTCCAAACACAGCTCTTTTGCAGCCATCATTTGATCTCTCTTTCTGTGACATCTCCCCACCACAATTTCCGCAGCAGCGACAGCAACAGAAACAAAAGCCAACAATTGGCATAAGCAGACAGAATAGGAAACCAATTCCCACACAAATAATCATTCCCATGGCATAGTTTTTAATAATCTGTTGGGAGAAAAAAAGGAAGATAAAAGTGGATTTCCATTTTGGGTGCATAAGAAATGCATAAACAAACATGCATGAGCAATTTCAACTGCTACCTAAAAATCAGTGCCACATGTTTTGGATAACAAAGATTCCTTTAGTAAGTAATTTTATCCCAACCCCCTAAGAAAATTGTTTAAAACTCACATCGTTCTTGATAACCTCTTCATCCATACCTTCATCTTTGATCTTGATAAGAATATCTGAAATATAATAAGATTCAGTTTTGAAAGTCTACAAATTCATGTATTTCATAAAACTTCAGGAAATGCTGTTTGCAAAGTAGTAGTAGTTCATTTAAAAGATAACAATTGAATTGGTTGTCAGCTTAGCATGAATAATTAGTCGATTAAGTAAACATCTGGCAGACTTGGTTTACAGCCACCAGCCCTTGAACTTGAAATAACAAACGGAGGCTTTAGGTGTAGAAAAGCTTTGAGCATAAATTCAAAATGCTCAAACATTTAGGCAGGGGAAAGGGGAGGGTTGGACTGAAAGCCTTCCTATTTTTCTCTAACCTTTGCTACAAGAGTGTAAATTGGGCACTGGAGAATCTAAGCCATTTCCTGTTTGGACATAGAGTATCTTCTCCTTTCAGCTCAAAGAGATGATGAATGCGAGATGAAATCTTGCAACATTTCTTGATGAAAACCTTCCCAAAATACACCCTTGCACAGTTCACTCTTTTGTTTTTTTCTAACAAATTTGACATCTGCCAGATATTTCTCGGAGAAGTGCCTTGGGGAGCAATGTGTTGAAAAGTAATAGGATGCAGTCCTTCAAAGTCAAAAAATGAGACAGGTGAGTGCAAGGTAAAGACAGGAGGGGTTTAAGTTTGTGCCCAACAATATAGGAAAGTCTGTGAAATGCTACCAGTTTGTGCTGTCATATCTTTTATTAGTTTTCAACAGATTCCTCTCAAACTTTGAATTTGGATTGACTTTGAGGATATCTGAGATGGCACATCTTTGTTAAATTTCACCAAATTTCTATCAAACTTGGATTGAATCTGCACTGATTTTGAGGATATCTTTCCAGCAATTCTGATGAAATATTTCTATCTTATTTCTATCTACAAACATTTCGCTATCGACATTGCTGATCCTAGCAGCATGCAGGACGCATGTCACATGAACTTCGTAATAGACCTTGCTCTCTGTGGAGTCTCTGTAGCTCAGTGGTAGAGCATCAGAGTGCAGAATTCAAAGGTGTGAGGTTTGATTCTTCATAAGAACTCAGAATTTTTCCTTGTCCCACCCTCCTGACAAGATGAAAAAACATCTTTCTCTATTTCTTAACTGAGCTCAAAATTTACCATCTCTCTTATTTCTATCTACAAACACTATGCTATTGACATTGCTGATCCTAGTAGTATGCAGGACGTGTGTCATATGAACTTCATAATAGACCTCACTCACCGCAGAGTCTCTGTGGCTCAGTGGTAAAGCATTGGAGCTCAGAATCCCGAAGGTCTGAGGTTCGATTCCTCATGGGGACTCAGAATTTTTTCTTGTCCCACTGTCGTGACAAGACAAAAAAAACATCTTTCTCTAATTCTAATGAATGTTTGCAAACAATACTCATGCTGAGTTTTTTAATATCTTCAAATCATAGAATTGCACATTTTAGTCTTAAGGTTTGTCATGAGACATCATGCCACTTCAAAGTACACACACTGGCAAGGAGACTGTTAACGCAAGAGCCGTGGAGGAAATCATTGTGTATTTGATATTGCCCTGCCATAACAAAGAATGCGTTTAAACCAAATTATGAACTGCCTTTACGTACAAACTTCCTGAGTACTTACAAAACCGAAAGCCAGCAAAAACGGTCAACAACACACAAGCACAAAAATTAAGATCGTATTCCATTCATTCCAAATTTCAAGCATGCACTAAACCTATTTGTAGTTTAGCTTACTTCTCTTTAGAAATCTGAACGAATATCAACTCGCCCAGCAGTAAAGATACCAAAAACCCTGTAAAAAAAAAAGAACGATAGAGCACAAGACAGAGATGAAAATATACATCTGTACAGATTTTCATAGCGTGAAAACGACCCTAAAATAACATTACGTATCTCGCGCTCGTTCGCTCCATGATACAAAAACAAAACGCTTTCGATCTGAATGCAATATTTGAACTAAACAGAATCTTCGTGTAAGAATTATTCGACAACGCTCTTTCACAAAAACCGCAAAAATGGCTTCAGTGCGATCGGAAATGTATTTGCTTTTCGGCATGAATTTGTTTAACAGGAAAGAACACAGTGTTTTGATGTAGATCTTTAACATCGCACGCAACGATCTGCAAGCGCCATTCTCACACACTGCTGGAGACAAAGCACGAAAAAAAGGGAATCACAATCACGCAACTGATTTATAACAAAATCCTTCCGCACTGCACAGTGGAAAGAATCCCAAAATCAAAATGACAATATACTCGACCAACCCATGAATTTCACCATTTCAATTTAGCGTTCACCTTCGCCATCGTAAAGGATAGCGAAATCCGCAGCAAAGAGCTTTGATAGAGATGCTCTAGGCCACAGATCTCCGTTTTACTGTAGACACCAACGAACACAAAAGGATTAACTCTACTCACTGTAAGGGTCTTTACTGAGAACTGTTCCGATGAACGAATTTGCGAAATTATACCAAGGCTGTAGTCCTTTTGCGTCGTATTCTGTCTTGAGATCAGATCCCTCTGAGCTTGTATCTTCAAAGTTGTCATTCCAAATTATTGTCGTGCCGTTAACTGTCGGCGTTCCACAGCTCCCAAAGGCAACAAAACAAAAGAAAAACAAAACTAGAAATGCAGTTGCCGGCGACGACATTTTATCAAATCACTGCCAAATAACAGAGGATATAGCTGATGTTGACTTTCCGTGTAAAAAATGTAACGACGTAACGACTTGTATGATCAAGTATTTGCAGATAAATCCCGTGAAAACCAGTATGTCCTTCGCTCAAACCTTGGCAATCAAGAAGACGCTGGATGTCACGAGGTTCTTGAGAATTCTTCAACTAGGAAGTGAACCTTTCCCTGGATTTGCAGGCAGCACGTTCAAGCAAATTGCATCAATTCCTTCGTGACCACTTCAGATAATCCAAGCGGAACGTCTTCAATCTGAAAGTCGAACACCCAAGATTATTTGCAAATGTAGATATAGACTACAACCTCTAAAGAAAAAAGGATGAAGAAAATATATTTACAGCCGAGGTAGATTTTGAGCCACAAAGCCGCGCTTGATAACGTTAAATTTCTCGACAAGTGAGGATCGTGACGTCACGCAAACGTCACTCATACGATCATGCCCTATAATAGTTCTTTGTTTTTCTCTCTCAGAGTTCATTTCCATGGAAACAAAACTCCTTCTAAACAAGATATTGACACGGTAATTTACCATTTCGACTCGGTTCTCGGTTGGAATATTGTTGGTTGACTGCTAAAATCACGAGAATTGGTGTGCACCTTAAAATTCGTGAAACTTGAGACTATTGAAAATGTGGAAACAAAGAGCAATGGTTCTTTTCATTCAAAGTAAGACCAAGTGCCAATCAGCATCAGGTTTTAATACAGCGATAAATACAGCAGTTACTATGTTTATATCCCGGAAACATAAAATGAATTTTTATAAGACGTTGTCGTTGTTGATTTCTGAGACACGCGTAAAACTCAGAAACACATATGTTTATGGCCTAAGTGTTCTTGTAAAATTCAATGCTTGAAAACCACAGAAAAAGTGGATGTTTCCTCTCTCTTCATTCTACGATACGGAAACCATTTAAGACAGCATGACAATAAATTCCTCACGTTGATTTGTTAGTGGTGGAGGCGTGGATTACCCGGTTCGATGCCGAAGCGACATGATAATTTGAGTAAAAGGAGCAAGAATCTTAAACTTGAAGATTATCACTAGGAATCCACGTCAAAAAAAGGAAAGTTAGAACAGACAAAGAAACTGATATAAAATATATTAATATAAGTAAAAACTAATATCTTTTAAGCGCGTGGGTGACATGTCAGTGCAGGCTGACCATGAAATAATTTTTCCCCTTATTTACACTGTTAGCATGAACCAGGTGGATTGAATTTTTACTTGAACCAATAAATAAATTGCTTACTTGGTACTTACTACGAGAGACACTTAAGTAGGGAAAATTTCAGCTGTCACTATGAGATGAGGAACTGTCTCTCAGGACAAGAGACAGGAATTTACAGCAAACTACAAGGTGCCATTTGCATTAGTATGTCATCTGCCCAACAGTCCATACCATCAGCATCATAACGATTAGACACATAAATCATAATAATTCGACCCTCTTGAAAGACAACGTAAAAAGAGTTTTCGACGCCTGTGCACTTTCTAACTTCGTTGACACATTCGGATTTATCGACTTTACTTCGAAGAGGTCATAGTTATTTATGTTTGCGACAAGACGACCACGAACTGTGAGAGGAACAAAAGGCAGCCCTTGTGCGGTATTAGCGGTGGTCTCTTCCTAAAGTTTCCGTGATGAAGTCGAGCGAAACGAGCGTGACGGTAAATGGTAATTTTTTTCGCTCCTTCTTCTGCTCCTCCGGGAAAAAAAGTCCTTTGACGATTGTTAAGAGAAAATCGGAGTATGAGATGACTCTAGAAAATGAAACTCTCCAAAGAACCGGCATTTTTTGCGATAAAACATGTAGAAAGAACTAAAATTAGCGTTGAGGTGTGACTACATGAATTGAAAACACATTTCGATGCACATCTTAATGACCAAGTAGATTTCACCGCATCAAAGTAGCTAGAAGGCCTCAGGACTTCCAGTAAAGTTAGTGCACGCAGCGGTTCGAGGTAAAATTTCCGCACAGCCCCATCCTACAGTATGCATTCAGTTCTTGGTTAGAGAAAACAATGACAAAAACAATACACTGTCATTAGGAAAACGGATTTGTTCTATAGGGCTGTGCAGAAATTTTACCCGGTTCGATGTCGAAGCGACATGATAACTTGAATAAAAGGAGCAAGAATCTTGAACTTGAAGCATACCTGAATACTGCGAGAAATCCACTGCGGTGATGAGAAATAAGCACACGCAACAAGGCTCCTATTCAAACAATGGACTATATGAATTATCCTGAGCTGAACAGTCATGCTCCCCAGACCACGCTATAATGGGGTCAATGATCACGTTGTGCTAAATACTTTGTATTGTTCTAGGTTATTTTTAATTGAATCAAAACAGAAGTTAATGAGTGCACAGGAATGCGCAACATAATTTAAAACAATCTCAAAGAATGTGCAGAATAGCTTGGCGACTGTTTTAACAAAATTCCGAGTCAAAGAAAATGGATTTGCGTTTTGCTTTAGGATTATGACATTTTTCTACGCCCTCCGGGCTTTCATTTAAGAGGTAGAGCGCTCAAATTAGTAGTTGAAGCCTAAACTCTACGTTGATGAATTAATGGCTTTTAAGAATAACGATTTAAGATAACGATTAAGTTACTCATCGACTTCATTTTCAGCAGCTGTAAGAGTAATTTTCATAGCCTTTATTTCTTTGGCGGGAAAACTCGTGCGGTCCTCTCATCGACGAATCGGATGCAGTTAGGAAAGAGCGCGTCTGACTCACTTGTTTCTAGCAGTTTTCTTCCGCAAACTTTGAGTTATCATTGGCTCTCTGAACTTCTCTACCTAGTGTCGGTTTTGTTGTGACGACATACAAATAAAATGCACTCTTTTATCCAGAGACCTATCTATCTTGAATTCCACTTTAACCAGTTTATAATTTCTCATCAATTAGCGGGCGTGTAATGCAATTTTTTTTTCACCGGAGTGTATGCTTCAAGTCCATTTGCAAAGGCAGGTGAGTGGACAAAATGTGTCGAGTGATGTACACAGTTTGAAATGACTGAGTTACGCTGCACAATTTATTTTCCATTCAATGTCCGTCCATCCTTCTTCCATTCATTCATGAATTCTTTCGATCTTTCGATCTTTTCTTTGTTTATCAAATAATCGATTAATTTTATCTCGACGAAGGCTTTCCGCTTGCTGTGAACTACGTAGTCGATTCGGGCATGAAAAATAGTTCATTGTAGATGTGATGTCATGCAACGAGCTCGCAAAGTTAGGTTGAGAAGTTCATTGGGTGACATCTACCCCGAAAAAGGCCACTAAGTAAACCAAACAAAACCCAGCCTTCAATTTACCGGATTGACTTTGACGCACGCACCGTTGTAATGCGAATAATTGGGAAACTATGTCATAAGGTATCAGCAAGACAAAGGTCACGTTCAAGCTTATCAAGCGAGCTTTTGATGCCTGCCAACTAAGACTGTAATAATCACCCGATAGCAGTGTGTATTTACGTCAGCACGTCTTCTAATTTATGAACTTTTTCGAAACTTTTGGAAAACTACGGATGGCGTATATTTGTACCTATATCTTTGAATTTTCAAATCATTCCCTCGAGATCGTTGAAGAGTAAAAAGGAAAAATTCTACAGAGAAACATGGTTATTCGTTTATAGCTCACGAGAGAGGAGAAGTAAACAGGAATTAACGCAGCATTTGTAGCCTGTGATTATCGGCCCTGCAGCAAGTTAATTATTAATCGAGATTATGTCATATGATTCAAAACAAAAGCATATAACCTTCATCTCGGTTGTATCCTTCTGTTAATAATAAAAGCACCTAGACTCATAAATAATTGAACTACAGTTCCCTCGACAAACAGAGCTTTCAGTTGCATTTCGCTCAAGTTTTTATACAGCCCATCTAAAGTTCCCTTTGACTTTGAGTGATATATTATTATTTATGTAACTACCACGCTACAATGAATGACATTGCAGAAACAAATATCGAAACGATCCTGTACAGCACGAGCTTCAGGTTGCCTTGCAGCAGGATCACAGAACAATCATAAACTAATATAACTCAATAAAACTTCGTCTTACCTCCTAAACTCCCCGCTTTCTATGAATAAACGCAAGTGAAAAATAAAACCACTCTCAATATGACTCACGTCTCTGATCAAGACTTTTGCGTAGGACAGCCCTTGATGACGTCACAAAAGGGAAACGGAAAGCACACACAGATATGGGCATTTTGAAAACTATTGTGTCAAGCGGAGAACAGTTCTTGTTCATTGAATGTAACCTGAAATTGTTTTGAATTTTCGCCACTTTGTTCTCCTGTTGATTAAAACGGTTGCCGGCGGCGATTAGATATGGTCACGTTTTATTTCCCTTGTACTGCGTGTAGTGTTACATGTTTAGATGCTGAGGTAAATGAATAAATCATACATTCATTGCATGATACGGTTTAGTAAGTTTTGAATGTATTTCACAGATAGAAAAAGTCTAATAGTTTGGCGCTTAGATATATATTTAAGAGTCTAAACTTTCTAACATTTAAACCGAGTGCTCTTCACTGTAATTGGAAATATTTTTGTGAAACAGTTTTCACAACAGCAGTAGCGAATAAGGTAAAAAGTTATGAATAAGTCTTCTTTTAACGCTAAATCATTAGAAAAAGGAAAGTTAATTTTTAGATCATATGATGCTCAAAGTTCACAACATTTAGGCGAGGAGGAAGGAAGTAATTGACACCCAGACACAGAGCCTGAAAAGGTCATTGATGCATTCACATCTGCTAACAAAATTCCTCTGCTTTATTCAGCGGAATGTTGTGGACAATAATCGTTACGTATAGGTATTCGAACTTGTAAATCAAAGTGATCCTTCTTTAGATTTTGGAACAGACTTTTAAGTGAATTTTGCTCGTGCCGTTTCAGGCTATGTCAACTGAGCTAGCTTTTATTTAGGCGTTAAACATACATGGCTAGTGTTCCTTAGAAATCCCCTGAATTCATCGAAGTTCGCGAGAAGTTTCAGTAAGAACGGTGTATTTTTTTAATTTCTTTGTTATCTTTTGGCAAGAAAATATCAACTCTTGCTTTCGGAAAGATTTCAGGAAGACCTCTGATTTCTTCTAAGGTTATATATAGAAAAGCCTCATTCAATAAAGAGTTTATCGTTAACTATTTTTGTGTAATGACACCTAGCTACATAAAAAAGTGGAGGAAAATTCGATGAACATATATAACCACAAAACCACTTCAGTTTTACTCCCTAATCAACCCTTTCACGGCCAAGATCTCATTAGTAATTCTCCTTACTGTCTGCCATACAGATCTTATGATGTTACTTTGATCAACTGAGAGTCCCCCAAATTAATATATTTTTTTATTTATTTGTCTTCTTGGTATAGTATCAATATTGTAAGGATAAATTCTATCTTGGTCACTCACGGGGGTGAAAGGGTTTGGTAACTAATAATTTGATTTCAAAGATTGAATACGAAATGTTTGTGCAGTATGTTTTTGCTTATCAAAATAGCAAACGAAAGATATGGAAATAACGTCTAAAAGGAAAGATGATATAGCTATCAATAACTATTACAATAAATTTAGGGGTACTTTTTAAATTTAAGAGGAGGGGCGTAATTCAGTTATTGACCCCTTAACTGTTGCGTCAGAGGCCATTATTAACGCCTTTTCATCAGCCAATTAACTTCCGTAAAAACACTCGTGGTTATGATGTAAAATTGGATGTAAGTGGATGTTGGATTTTACGGTTTTCTTCGCGTCAAAAATTTACCCGTTAAAGGAATCATCTGTCAGCGGAGGAGGGATTGAAGAAAAAGGGGCAGGAAAGGGCATTTCATTTCCTCTCCTGATGGTTCCTCTCTCACTACTAAATTTAACCCTTAAACTCCCATCAGTGATTGACATGTAACTTCTCCCTGCAACATCCACAGATTATCCAGCCAACATGTAATGAGAATACTGAAACTTATCAGGTAGAAGTTAGTAGTTTTGATCTAACACCAAATTCCTATGACTTATTTACAAGGAAATATGCAGCATCTAAAGGGGAGAATTAACAATCAGATCTTGGGAGTTAAAGGGTTAACGATTTTTGTACCATTTTGGTGAAGTTCTTTCTTTAAAGATGACATATTCTTGATTTAAACGACAAAGTAATGTAAAACCATTTGACGTTTTTCCTTTTCTTTGTCAAAAATTGAAACTGTTTTTTTTTGTTCTTTACAAATTTATCTCTTTTTACTTAAATATATTTAATTTATTGATGCTTAAAGTAATGAAGTGACATCGCTTTCGTCGAGCTTTCACAAAAAAATCTTTTTTAAAATTCCGAAAATTTTGCGACTTAGATCATACTAGTCGTAACTTTATGAAGTAGCTCCCTTAAGCTCTAATACATTTGAGACGCGACCGCTTTATAGACTTAATATTTGAGGGATTAAATCTTGTATCTTCTGGTGAGTGTCTCCGCGCAGGTGCTAACATCTTTTCTCTCTTTCAATGCCTTTTTTTTGGAAACGCACGACAGACTTCACCAAAAAACAGGTCTCATTTGCGTTAACGATTTGAGTTGCCCTTTGCATTTCATGTTTTGTTTACACGGGCAAACTAGCAAGCTGTCGGTGCATATTTGGCAAATTACGCGACAACTCTGAGTGTGATTGCATGTTCCAAATTCCCACAGGACTAAAACACTGGGTAACTTCCGCATCGAGTTTCGAAATTTATTTGGTCGCATGTGTGGCTCACGCATAAAGAAAACCTGTCTTTCACGGAAAAAAAAAGAAAAAAAAAAAACCAACAATTTTTCCACGAATAATTTAGACGAATCCAAGCACTTTCTATGCCCAAAAAAATCTTAAAGGCTTATTTAGTGTGATTCGTTTGTTTGTTTGTTTGCTTTCTGAACAAAAACACTTTCCTTCAAACGTTTTCTGTTCCGGGAAATGCATCAATCGATAACCAGAATATTAACCATATAGTGCGCCGTCACGTAACAAATTGCTGCTCTATCGTTGGTTCATCAAAGCACTGAAGGGATTAGTCGTTTGAATGCCTGATTTTCTTATGTTTTCACAAGCTTTAACCAAAGGAAAACATTTATGATCCCTCCAACATTTCAAGATATTCAATGAAATTTTTCTTTTCCACTTTTATCTTCTAATTTTTGGGATCGAAAGTTTTACTCTCTTCGGAAATGCGGAAGAACTTTGGCAGAACAAGGGTTTGAGAAGAATTGTTGTTGTAACAGGTGTTGTTTTTTTTCCGTCGCTAGGAAATTGAAAACTTTTTTACAAAAAGCCATTTCCGAAAAATGGTCTTTACGATATCTGAAGAACAAAGCTCACCAGACAGATGACAAGAGCGATTGTCAGAATTATTGAAGACAACTTGACATATTTACAGAAGAAAAAGGGAAAAAACATTGACAAACAAAAGCATGAAATTTCTCAGAAATAGCTCGCGTGATGTCTGCCAGAATTTAAGAGACATCTAGCGCAACTGAATAGTCATCAAAATTATAGACCACATTTGGCAAGAAAAAATGCTAAGTATATTACGAGTCCCCCCCAAAAAAATCGAGAGATATTTTCAACGAATTTCCAAACAGAAAGCATTGTCGCTAAAATAGAATCTTGCTAATAGAAACCCTCAAATCATTGTTAAAGCGAGTAACTAAGTCACATGAAATTGTCAAACGTAACAACTGCCTGTGGTGATATACTGACAGAAAATCGCGAAATTGGGCGACAAAATCGAATAAACTCGTTGGTTTCAGAATGCAGTGAACTTTCGAAAGGTTCTTTTCAGATACTTATGTAAAGAAAAACTTACATCGCCTTCGGATGAACGATATTTAGATAGCTGGATGTTAAATACAGCAGCTATCTAAATATGAAACATTTGCTGAGCCGGAGCTTGATCAAAAGAAATAAATTTTCCCTTAATTCAACAAGGAGGATAGAACTAAATACGTCTATGCAATTCAAAACCAACAATGAAAGGAATATAACACTCCCAAAAGTCACAACGATTTTTAAACTCGATTCATTCGGAAGTCCATAATTGCTGGGTAGGTAAACATGAATGTTCGAAGAAGCCTGTTTAATTATTAAGTTCTAAACATCTGAAAAAAAGCCGTTGCTGTGTTTAGAAAAGAGGGATTGCCTCTAGGTACAGTTTATGCATGATTTAAGCGCCTAATCGCTCAAAAGATAGCTTTCATTGTATTATTTTTAAAATATCTAACAAAATCCCTTCAAATTGTGACAACGGCCTGAAGGTAGCGGCGAAGAAGGATTGATGCAACAACATCTAAAAACGTATCATTTGAGGAACTTACCATACGCGATATTTCCCCGATAATATATGCCCAAATATTCCACCGTTTGGAGCTTTCAGACGATGTATGGGAAAGCCAACGTCTAAGCGAAATACAATACGAAAGATATTGATAAAATTAATGTGACAGCGTTACGTAGAAACCCAACCAATCATCTTTTGTTTATCCAAGTAAATTGCAAGCCTTACCGAATTTGAAATATAAATATTAATAAGTTTCACAACAGCAATTGGTTGAGAATGAAAGCGATAAACAGAATTGGTGTCACAGATGTAGAAATGGAATCTCTTACGACATATTTTGCATTTTCTATTGACAGCTTTGGGCGTTGATTCGATCAAATTTCTTGCACCGAGCGGGTTTAATTTTGAAGGATTAATATCATAACTTAGAGGCTCAGAACGTAATCTTTCTCGCGATCTTCGATTCGAAACCTGCACGGGAAACAAAAAAATTATTAGCAAATGTTTTTGTTATTAAAATATTACGTGAAAATATGGGAGTTCTTCCGCAGATATCGGATATCATTTCTCGCTTGATTCGATCTTTATTTACGACTGGAACAACGTGAAGAAAATGTGTCGTAACACAACCGGAAAGCGATTGGGCCTAAAGTGAATATAATCTTTTTAATCCTGTATATTTGGAACAAGTACATGCATGTGTGGTAGAGATCGTGGTGGACTTGAACACGATTTGTATAACTTTGTTCATTACATCAAATCTACAGGCGGTCTAATACAAATACTGCAATCTGATTGGCTACGCTACTCGCTATCTATCACATGATAGGTAGGTGGTAAAGCGAGTGGTAACAGTAGTGAGTGAGATTGTAAAAAAAAACAAAATAAAAAACCGATAATGTTAAGTTTTGAACGACTAAGAAGATTTATAGTAAACAAAGAGATTATCCACTTTCGCTTTCTTTGTGTGGTGACTGATAGAGGCTTCGCTCTCACCTTTCATGACACGATAGAAATATCGAGCTCATAATCTTTTTGTTAAATGGTAACTGAATTCCTCACGTAAAGAATTATGTGTAAAAACCAATATGTTCCATAACGGGGAAACTTTTCTATTAACGATTGTGTGGGTTAAATTAACCACCAGAAGCTTAACAAAAGACATCGAGAGTTCTTTAAAACCTCGCGAACAGAATGCTGAACTGAATTGGTAGGCAACCTAAGTGCGAAAGGATGCGACGGATGTATGATTTTGGTATAATAAAGACATTGGCAAAGATTCTCAGTGAGAATATAATTATTGCAGTTGATCGCAGGTGAAACATGGTTTCCATAACCTTGCAAGGCAGGGGGTCATATGACTCTCGGTTTTTCTGGTTTTGGTCGACTTTGGGATCAACTTTTTTTTTAATCTAAATCTTGTTATTCACTTTTTCTTTTTAATTCACTTTTGGATCCAACTTCTTTATTAAGAGCTTTGGTGGCTGGTGGTTGCTGGTATCACGAAAAAGAAGGCAGTTTCTTCTTTTGAGTAGATCGCTTTTGTTCCTAATCATCGACATTTCATCTCTTTTTAGTGCATCATTTGGCGTAACTTTTCGGTTTACATTTTCCGGTTCTAATAAGGCCGACTACTTTTACACAACTTTCACCATTTCTTTGTTTGTTTGTTTTTTTTTTAGCAGAGGGCTCCTAGGCATCCGCGTCTCCTCCGCCGAAAACGGGAGAATGAGAGTAGAGCCCATGCTTTTTCGTACTTTAACTCTGCCAACTCGAAAGATCAGACGCATAACACTTTTTATCCCTGCAGAAAAACGGACCTGAAATCATCTTATTGCAGAACACGAACTTCTTTCAAGAATTTCGCCGAACAGATTCTGCCAAATTTCAACCTTTAGCTGTAGTGGTGCGCACAAGCAAACGGAGGATTGAAACAGAACTTGAAAATCAAGAAAGCTATATGAAAGGGAAAGGCCGTGTTGAATCGGCCATGCACGTGCATATAAATCCTTTTAGGTGCTACTCAAGTTAAACGCTGTCTTTGATGCCGGAATCGGTGGTTAGTCTCATCTCCAGTGCCACCTCGCAATAAAAAGAAACGAGGACTTTGGAATCGAGGCTGTTTGCAAGTTCTGGTGCAAGACAGGGCTGTCCGCGCATGCGCATAGTCTTGTCGTCAGCGTGACGTCACGAGCGATTGTCGACGTCTCTTGAAAAGTGTAAAATGCCAACGGTTTGTTTTGATTGCAGCTACAATGCGGCGCCCGTCAGTCATTTTCTTCATTTTACTAATTTCACTTTATATGTGAAATCTTTTGAGGAAGGAAACATCGCAAATGTAATACAAAACCGGGAATGGGCGAAATGGCCTCCTTTCTCAAGGAGAATAATTTTATATGGCTTCTGGCAATACTTTGTATTGTCTTGTGCGCGGGGATTGAGGGAAAAGGAAGCCTTCAAGGAGATCACATCGTTTTTTCTCCATTGCGTATAGGAAATAACTACACATTGAATAGAAGCAAGAGCGACTGGTTCCTGTCCAGTTATGATTCAGTCGCTGAAGCTGTGGTGTTATCATTGAATTTTTCCCCTCCATACGGTAAGAAATTTTATGAAGTCACTAGCGGAAAAGCAGGAAATTAAGCCTTAAATTGGCTTTGTTAATGATACCGAGGGATTTTTCGCGGTGTTGGGAGTTTGTTGAAGGTAAAGGTTGGCGAGGTAAAGAAACATTTCCTTGTGCAATAGCCTGTGAACAGCAGCCTTCAATTTAGTGACAGAGTCACTCATGTGTATTAAACCATAACATTTTTAAACGCGCTTTATCTTTCAAGTTTGTAAATCGCCTAGCACTTTTCCTTAAAACAGGAAATTAATATCTAAGCTCGGCAAGATTAGGAGACTGAGGAGAGGAAGAAAGGCAGTGTTATTTCATAAACTTTTTTGGCGAGATTTCAATGCTTATTTCAATATATCCGCTATCACATTTATCTTATTAATTCAAGAAAGTCTTTGAAACTTTTCTAGAAATTTAGAAACTTTCAATTCTCTTTGCGAAATATAGAAAGTCTGGCCTAAAGGTATCACTTCAGTTTCATCTAAAAGGAAAAATAGTGAGATTTTCAGCGTTATAATTTTGTTGTATTTTACTTTCTTCAATAATTTAGCGCCTGCTATTTTTTGATAGCCGCCGTAAGAGAAAGAAAAAGACTATGTTCTTTCCCAGATTGAAAACAAAGCTTTTCTTTCCTTTTAGCACTCAAAAACACCGGCCGTATATTCCATCTCTCTGTCGCTTAATTGTCAAAATCATTGACTTTTTCTTTAACCAGTAAACCACCCTTAAAAGATCAGAAGTTAAGTTTGTAAGGAAACCTGCATCTTAACGGCGATGTTTACAATTGGAGCAGTGCAGGGTAACCATTGTGTAATTTTTGGTACCTGCAATTTTTTCTCAGGTATCTGGAGAGACTTTCTATTGTATGACGGCGAGTTTCTCGTACTTTTAAATATACGTGGCCCAAACAAATACAATTAAAGCTGTTTTCTTTGGATGAATACTAATCATATAGTTTTAAGACCCTTCGCGAAATTTGATAGAAATTTCAGAAAGATTACAGTAAATCACCCACACTTTTAATTAACACTACCTATATTTGTTAATTGAACTAATTGAATCGGAGCTGAAGTTGTTCAGGTTCACTCAGCCCTTACACACAACCCTTATAAATTTCATTTCACATGGTAACAATGCTTCAATGTCCAACAACAGGACGTTTCTTAAATTTTCACATTAAATTAAATCTAGCAACCTCCAGTTATTTACCACATTTTCTTAAATTATAATATGAAGACTTCCTTGCTGTCATCCATAGCCCGCTAAGATGATAAACGGACATGATAAAATCTTCGGAAAGCTGTACTCCAGCGCATTCATGAATTTTGAGATTCGGTGTTAAAACAGAGTGATACAATTAAAGTTTTCAGCCAATTTAGTTCAAAAGAAAAAAAAACCTTCCGGCCATGCTGGATAGAAATCCAGGATGCGTGTACTTTGACGCTCGACCTTCGGCCGAGTGGTTCGCACTTTACGGCAAAAAGCGTTGACTCTCAGTAATCAGTAACATGCATTTTCAAGTGTCATGTTTCATTCTTAAACCTTATGAAATTCACCAAAAATTTACAATCATCTCAACCATCTGCAGCAATCTAAAATTATTGTGTTTCATCATTTGTAGATGCCATTAAAGATGGACTGCGAAGTCTTGAAGGGATCAATAAATTTACGGCTGGGGACATCGCAAAAAAGGTAAAAAGTAACCAATCTACACAAGTCCTTTTAGCAAACATCTAAATATTAAATTGTTAAAGAAATTTGAAAACTGTGATAATTATCTGTACTCAAAAATATTTATTTTTTTTCTTTTTTCTCCTGTAGGCAATTAATGAGAATCTTCCTTTGACACTTCTGACATGTGTCGCGCTCATAAGCGCCTTTGGAATACCGCTGGTCGGTATCATATTTGGCTGCTTTCGGTGCAAGGGGAAATGCGGCGGTGCGCTGATAGAGGAGGATCTGGAATCAAACCCAAAGAAACGTCGGCAAATGTTTACAGCGGCAATTTCCATTTGCACGCTTTTGATCATGTAAGTTTGATTCCCTGTCTGATTAGCGACTATACTTTTCAAATTTTTAAGGGTATCTCATTCAAGAATCCAACTGAAGCACGCTATTGACAGCAATCTATTTTTTTCCAGGATCGCTGCTTTTTCAATCAGTCTGATTAACGACAGAACTGACAATGCAGCCCCCGCATTAGATTCTCTCTTTATGGACTCCATTGTGGATATCGCAATTTACAAGGAGAATACTTTGAATGTAGGCTTAAAACTTTTTTGGTGATACTTGTAATTCCGACACTAGATGCTTCAACTTCGTTTATAAGTATGGAATTAAGGACTTTCGTATTTTTACGTAGTCTAACCATCAGTAGTGGAGAGTTTGTGCCTCGCTTCCTCAATATTAGACGTCACTACAGATAATCCCATAGCCTTTAGTTCGTTATTTGCGACAGTCTCTAGTATTTATTGATAACCCTGACGGGAGATCAACGATCTTTTCCTCACATAAGGCTTCATGTCACATGGTTTTTTAGGGGAAGCGGAGGAGGGACTAGTCGTCACTAACAGAGGAATGTAGAAAAATGATTATCAATAAGGGGGTATCATTAGAATATTACAGAGCCTTGGTGGGGTGGGGGTTCTGGTAAATCTGATTATAAACCAACCGAAATCCTCCCAGGCCACTCCCCTGTCCCCCTGGGCGATAAATAAAAAAAAAAAATTAGCAGAAACGGGATAAATAAACTGATTAAACTATGGATACGAAAAAAAGCAAACTAACAGCAATTAGAATCTGGCTGAGTATAGTAAAAAACAGAAGTGAATTTTCTCTTATCTCATTGGCCTAACAAAGAAAAGTTATCAGCTCATAACTCTGTTGCGGACGATGCAGCGAGTGGACTCGTCAAAAGAGGGCTTAGACTGCGTATGGCCTAAAAATGACGAAGTTTACGAAATTAGTTTTAAGTTCGTAAAACAAATCAATTTAGGGGCCTAAGCGGGGGGTGGCGGCGGTGGATTTTGGAAAGATCACATAATCATTCTTTTCAGGGGCATGGAAGGGGGTATTAGTCGTCGCAAACAGAGTAGAAAGGGGGGCTGACAATTAACTGCCATGAGGTGGGGATCATGATAATGAATATTGCAGAGCCTTATGGAGGATCAGGCAAATCCAGGGCGATAAGCGATGAATGACGATCGCTTTTTTTTTTCCTTTAAATCAAAAACGGATTTGAATCATTTTTCAAACCTAAAACTGGAATCGACAAAAAACGAAAGTGACAAGTTTTTGTCGTAGGAAATTGTAAAAGATTTATTTTATGTGTTATTTGAATATTTTCTTTCCGTAGGAATTATCTGAAGTAACTGGAGAAAACATGAATTTTACGATCGGTCTTATATCCCAGGAACTAAACTGTAAGTTGTTTTAAGAGACATCTGATGTATGTTGCATGGATCGATTACCTCTAGATTAACTATGAGTACTTTTGAAACCTGTTATAATTATTGTTTCATAGATTTACCAGTTAATATAACAACACCAGTAATAAAACGGGCTGACAACGCCGCAAAAGCAGTTCTGGACAACGTGAAAGAACTTGGATCAGGTAGGTATCCTTCATTATTGAGCTGACGGTGCTGTGCCCTCAAAATGCTTTCATTCAATAAAAATAAAGCTGGCGTAGTTTTTCTAGATTACTCGTTTATCAAAACTAAAATAGACACGGTGAAGCCAAATGATTGAAACTGCCGCCTGAAATTAGATACACGTTGGAAAAAGGGAAAAAATCAGTGGAATGAAAAGTCGTATGTTTTGCCAAGGATGATGGTGTAGTAGGCGACTGTTTCGTAAGGAGAAATCCGAACACCAGAGCTTGCAGGCTAAACATACGACGGTAGACCGCCGATTTCCGGTTTTTATCGAAACTGCTTAAAGTATACCTCATGTCCAAAAGACCACAAGATGGCCTATTGATTTTATTGAGGGAAGATTCAATCTCTTCCAATTTTCCTCTCTTGGATTGTGTCATGAACTGTTTTGCAGAACTTGGAGACCTAAGGGACTCTTTAAAAGATGTGGCAGATATTGTTAAGAATTTACGTATGCTCGGCCAAAAACTTCGCGATGGTTTGAGCGAGGTGCGAAAGAACTTGACAGAAGCTAAAACAGAATGTAACAATGATGAGCCGTCTAAAACTGCTGGTGCTTGTGACAAAATACCCAGTGGAGACCCCTTAGAGGCCGATGCGGACTTCAATAAGGTAATGCTACGAGCTAAATTATCCTAACTCTTCGTTTAAAAACAGAATTCTATGCTACGTTTGTAACATATTTTCTGTCTATGTACTCGTCGTCGGGTTTTTCTCTCGAAAATAACTCGTAGCTTATATCACAAATTAGTGAAATTCCCAGACTTTACGGACCATTTCTAATTGCACATGGGTAGAAGTCACCGTTTGCTTCGGTTTTCCTTCAATGCGCTCTCTTTAAGCGCTCTAGAAACGTTGGAACAACTTTCTAACCAATCACGACTTCTACACTTTCACTTTGTATTTGATGGTTTTGCTTTAATTTGACAATCAATCGAAAAGCGCTATAAACCTAACATATCGCACTTTAAAGCAATTTATAAAACTTAAAGCCTGCCCTTTTCCAAGCCAAGAATGAAAATAGGTGCGGCACAAATATTATTTTGTTCTGTAGTCTGATCGTCCGGGTGAGTGTAAGTCCAGAGAAGGAATGTTAGGAATGTTGAGGGAAAGTCGCCGTAGGAGTTAAATCAGGAGTTCTTGACAGTCGAGTGTATACAGTTCGGTTCGTGTAACCTGATAGGTCAGTTTAGCCGTGATGTTACCGGCTATAAGACTCAAGTGGCGTAAGTTGGTCTTGAGTGGTCAGTCTATGCATCAGTAATGAAAGAAATATTACCTAAGGACAAAAACTATGATTTGAAAAGATGTTTCTAACTTGCTGAATTATTAATTTTGACCGTTTCTGATTTTATACTTGTTCTTGGTCCTTTCAGGTTCCAGATTTAGCTCAGGAGTTGTCGAACATTGAAGGAATTCTTGCCAGAAACGACTTCGAAGCACAAAGCGTTCAGGTAAGTAACTAGAACGTGGAAAGCATTATTCTGCAATTATTGAATTTGAAGAGGATACTGGGATAAAATTACTTTTGAATTATTTCATTTATTAATACAGACGTTTTCATTTTAGGGGCAAAATAGATTTACGTCGATGACAGCAAAAGTCAACGAGAAGATATTGTCGGGAAGGGAAGGTGTGTGTGTATTTCCCACAATTGAGGTTGGAATCAGCAAATCTAACAAAAATTATTCCAGAAAAACAAGGCTTAGCTCAGATGGTTTACCCTTCTTCCTCTTTCAGAGATAACAAATTTTACCAAGGAACTTCAAGACTTTGCTGCAAAGATGGTAAATACACTGGAAGACGCTGGTGATTCGGTAAGGTTCTTTCTCAGTATTATCATCAACAGCGATAAGAAGCAACAACGGAAAACGGCAAGAAAAACAACAGAAATAATAACAACAACAAAAAAATAGGAACAACAGTAAGACCGTATTCAGTCAGTATAATTTAGGCTAGTCCTGCTATAGAAGTTTTCCTAAAACTTCACCTGTTTGGAGACATCAACATCATTACCAAGTTTTGCTCGCGTGTTCTAAACACTTGACAGATGTTGTGATTTGGCTCAAACCATTTTCTGCTGTATCTGGCAGAGATATAGAATACCGAAGACTAAGACTATCTTAGCAGGCTTTAATTATTTTTGAATTTTTCCTGTAACTTTATTCATTTCCCCCTCTCCCTCATTTCAATGTCGCCTAGTGTTACAAAATGCTCACTTATCTGTTACAACATTGTTTAGTGGGGAAAGGAGGGATTTTCAGGTACCTTGTTAAAGATTCAGTATAAGATTTCTGTTTATCATGTTGACTGGAAGGCTGTCGAACATCTACTGAAGGGAGACGTACCAACTACCTCGGCCACTCATTGTTCGTCTATATAACAACAAGAAAATATGATCTCCCATTAAAAAAAATTAAAACTTGCACCTGAAAACAGCCAGAGACTATTCTTGTTCAAACTCAGGCGCGTGTTGAGCTAAAATTTAGTTAATAAACTTGTCGCTTGGCGATCAGTGATTTATGGCGATTTAAGGTGTCACAACTTTTTCTTCTCAGTTGCAAGCAGAAATTCTATTGCCAACAAAAACAGAAGTCCACAATATATTTGGTAGAGGAGGATTGTTCAACAGATACGATAAATACAGGTATTTGATAATGCATTGCAAAATAGGAAGGAGTGGTTGAAAGAATTTGTCGAAAGGGTTTTAATGATTCATTCAAGTGATGTATTGTTAATTTTGTCAAATTGCGTACATTACAGTGATACAGGTAGCGTTTCATCTCCATAGTTGAATGATTTTAAATTTAAAAATGATTTTGAAGAGATGCATTTAACGTATTTCATCGAATACGCGCCCACGTTCCTATAAGCGCTCTCCCCCTGAGTAAGCTCCCACCTCAGGCCATAATAGGGAGTTTAAGTAAACCACGGCGGCAACGGCAATGAGAACGTCACTAAACAAAAAGTTTAACGAGCAGAACAATGGCTGTGAACGTGCGTTATAAATTTTTGTAAATTTCTCTGCGTCCTCTGCGAAGCAACAACGTGAAATGACCAAACTTTGCGTTGTCTGGAGAACGTGAACGACGACGGCTAATTTTATAAATTTCTAATTTTAGGTTGTGTTCCATATTCAGTTTCGAGATAGTTTTGACCGTGAAAAACAAACTAAATGACATTTGAGTATGGTGAGATTCTTAGGTAAAATGAAGGTTCACTTTTTAACCGACGTTGTCCGTGGCGTCGTCGTCGTCGTCGCCGTCGTCGTTTCTTAAACTCCCTAATATCAAACAAGCGCCCTTATCAATTAAGGCCTTTCCCTCTTCCCTCACTTTCTAAAATATTTAGGATAAAAGAAAAACCTGTTTTTATTGCCACTTTATCAATAACTTTTGACGCTTCTACCACAGCGGAATGAGTACACGAGAACAGTTTCTTAATAAGCGCTCCCCTCGCTTAAGCGTCCTCTCTCTAATACATGTTCCTCCAACGAAATTTTTAAGAGGCACCCGAGCACTAATTCAAGGAAATACGGTATATACTGACTTAGTTCGAACTCTTAATTCTGTTAATTCGTGCAAGGTGTATGTCGAATTTTTTTCCAGTTGCTGTGACGAACATGGGGATATCGTAAAAAAAGTATTACTCTTAAATTCACTCTTCTTTAAGAAATGCTTTAAGATATCAGTGATAAAGTTTGTCAGATATCTTTGTGATAAATCTAGACTATGATTTCAGACGATTGACACACAAATATCCAGTTTTTAGAAAAGTTTCCTTATTTATTTACATCAGCACGCATCGTCGACATTTATTCATCTTTCAGGTGGATCACCCTTCTGTCAATCTCTCTCGCTGTTGTTTTTGTTGTTTTGTTAACCTTCCTGTCTCTCATATCCGGTGCTCTCGGTGCCAGTCCTTCGGATACGCCTAGCACGCGCTCTGGAATTTCAAACTGCGCGGGGAATGCACTCATGTGGTAAGGAGACATTTCTCAATCAATGTGGACTTTGTCATGTATTGCACACTGAATGACTCGTGGAAAGAGGATTACGCGATTCTGTCCAAATAAATAAGACAATAACACCTACCTTTCGTTGATATGAGCGTAATAATGAACAAATGGAAGAGAAATTCAGAATGTTGTTTTTGAAACTCTTTAGTCCAACCACAACCCCATTTTAAGCATCATATTTTATTATTTTATCATTATTAGGTTCCAGTGGAAATAAACAGCTGAATTAAAAACTGAGTAGTCCGGGATTGGGTTGGTTTGTCTCTCTACCTTCTCAATCGGTCTAGAAAACTCCCCCCACTCTCTCAACCAATCAGATACGATGTAAAACCAACTTTGCCGTCATATACACTTTTCTGAGTTTGAAGTAACATCAGTGTGAATTTGACTTTTGATTGGTTATGTTAAATACTTTTCCTTCTTTGGTCTTGCGACAATCGATCGGAAAACGCTCTACTATAAGCAAGGTTTCTCAACTAAAGATTTGTTTGTTGTGTTTTTTTTCTCCCATAGTGTCGTGGGTTTGTATTTCTTCAGTGCTTTCTTTCTCAATTTCATTCTCGCTGTTACGTTTTATGTCGGAGCTAACGCTACGATCCTCTGCAAGTCAGCTGCTGACCTTAGCCTCCTAGAAAAGGTAAGTTAAGATAACCTTATGACAACATAAGAAACGCCGATTTTTAATTGTTATTGATTTTTTTAATCAAAATGTTGATGAATACATGAGAAGGCTTTTTTATTACACGTAATCAACCAACTTCATGTAATACAATATAGCCCACCAAAGCGGTCTTTGTTCAAGGTGATCGGCACCTAACTGTATAGTCATGAGGGGGGTATCATCGTGATTTTATGCCTCCTATGTGGCTAGGCGTAATTTGTACCTGTGTAGAAAATATAATCGGTAACAAAACATTATAATTGTTTGTGTTTGCAACTTTCCAGACCATAGACGATCCTTCAACTTTAGGATACTTTCCCATCTCTAAGGTAGTGCTGGGAAATGGAATCATAGACATACGACTGTCTGATATACTCAGGTAACGCACGGGTAGTGGGTAGGGGGAAAATTTGTCCTCTTTCCCAGTTTTAACTCCCGAAAAAACATGAGTTAAGAACGGAAAAATGCTGTCCTATTGAAGATTCTGAGGAATGCGTAGAGGAAAGAATTAAAACATTCGGACTTCCCTCAACGCAATACGTTTTCGTCAAATACTTCCTAGAGAAGTTTGGAATGAGTCTCGACTGACGGAAACAAAGGAAGGAGAGGAAAGAATGAGATTTTACATTCAAGATCAATACCTTAACACGAGCATCGAGCCTACAGCATTGCACTGTAACCAGAGATTATAAACAATTTAGAATCTTTCGACTGAAATTATAACTTATTGTTCATTTCTCTATTTTAAGCAAAAGTATATGTATTAACAGAATTTCATTTTTAAACTGTTTTTTAATCGCCTACTCAATCCTTGTCATCCTAGTAAAAGATTGATTGAATAACAAAGATTCAAAACGTTTGGGTCATTAAAGAAACTGAACAACTTCTGACAATTGTTGGGGTTTTCTTATTAATCCTCTTTATTTTACAGGCGATGTGATAAAAAAGAGACGCCCTGGGAACTACTAAAGCTAGACAATAAATTCAAGTTTGAAAAAATGACGAGTTACAGAGATGTAAGTCAGTGTTCAATGTTTACGCCATGGAGCCTTATGTGAAATGTATGCGTTAACAAATTCTGCTTTGTAGAATGGCTTCAAATTCTTTCTAACTTGCTTGCATCACGAGCGAGTCAATTACGATGCAAGGTTTACTCTAAAATATCAACTGATGTTTTTTTTCAAAACAGAAAATTCCACCGATGGACGAAATTCTGGCTGGAATAAACAGCTCCATAACAGATATAGAACTTGTGTCAGATGACACCAGGAAAGCTATTAATGATACGTTTACTTCTGGGGTCCAGGAGATTGAATTCTACAAGTTTTCAATGGAGGTAAAGCTCTTTTTTCCATCTCGGAGACAATCCCGTATTACTTTTTCCCCTTTTCTCACTGGTTTACAGAACTCATACGTCCGACTTCCCAACATTCTCTCCGCATTTATAAAATAACTGGGAAATAACGAGCACTCTGATTGGCTAAAAACCGATCAATTATTGCACCTGTAAACCCATGACAATTTTAATGATGTACGTAAAAAAGTTACACGCTTCTAATTGGCTGAAAACGACTGTATTCACACAAGCGCAAAGCTGTAACACGAGTGTAAACTGCCGATAGCGCGCTCGCTTTCAAAATTTCGTCTGTAGTGACTTTCTATGGTGTTTTTCGTGCACTTTGTTGACAAGTTATAAAATGATTCCTCTTGCAATTTAGTGTTAACAAGTACTTGTAATTTTCTGTGAAATGAAAAACATTAGCGTTTTTGAGACATTTGGATTCCTTACAACTTACTTTCAGAAGTTAGCAGATTACACCCTAAAGATGTTTCCTGTCTAAAATTTGTTTCATGTCGCCATAAAAATCTTTAAAAGTTTTTATTTTTTCAATTAACAGACAGGATTGCCTCTTACAAAGAATAGCCTTTCATTGAACACATTTGCGAACGAGTTGGGAACAGCAGCTGATGGTCAAGTAAGTTACTCTGATGCAATTTGGGGTTTAGTTTGAAGACCCTAGTGGCTCCGTTACAGCCGGAGCTTTTCACGGTTTCTGTGTCATGAAACGACAGGACATATTGCCACTCTCCCTGGATGGGATGCCAGTTTATTCGAGGTGCCCCCCCTCCCCCACATTTCTTCAGTTTTCCCTGACAGTTCACAAGTGGCCATTAATTCTCCTGAGTGGAGAGGGACCGGGTGAGAGCAAAGTGCCTCAAGAACATTAAAAAGAGAGTTCGAATCCTGACATTTCGATCCAGAGTCCAGAGTCCGGAGTCCGGGGTCCGGGGTCCAGGGTCCAGAATCCGGAGTCTAGAGTCCAGATATGTCACAGTTGATTTCATTGTGAAATAGATGAACGCTATTGAGGTGAAGCAAACAAACAAAAGTTTATTTGATACCATTAACGCTTATTTTGGGAACAGGTCTTACTCTAAGGAGACTTGGTAACTTTAAGGGAACGAGGAATTTATGGGTGGGACAGTCTCTAAACTTATTCCCTCTAGGTTTGATGGGTTCTTGTTATCCTTCAGGTAAATTCTGGAATTTCTGGAAAACTGCGCTCTGCTAAAGATGCTTTAAACAATTTACACGATGACACAATTTTGATATCGCAACCGCTGGTGGTAAGCTGTTTGGCAATTAAAAAGAATTCTTTTCTTTCCGTTCTCGTATTGGTTATTCATAGTGACTAATTCATTCCTCTACTATTGCAGTAGAAAAAGTCATGTCATGCCTTCTATTTCAATTCATTTATCTTCTATGTTTTCATAACTTTCAGGGCGAGTTAACTCAGAAAACGCAGACGTTGATGACAAAAAACATGAAAGTACTGGTACGAGCGAAGGCTTCTCATGTAGTTTTATTTGACATTTTGTAACAGTCGCAAACTGGCTGATTTCATTTTGTGAAGAAATTTTAGACCTTGTCTAGGTCCCTGGATCTGCGCCTGTATTAAATGATTCGTAATATATCAATTTCAGCGCCATTTTCAACTGAACGTCGTGAGTGATTCAGATCCACCAATCAAAAAGGGCCTTGTGAAAAATTAGTGTAAAATTAAAGTTGAAACTCCCTAACTTGCCAAAATCTATTTTTAAAGTTGGCTCTATCTCTGTGTTAATTGAACATTCCAGTCTTCCTTCGCTATAAAAACAGTTTCAACGAAAGTCAGCTATTCTCGCAAACCAAATTGCCTTATTACTACCAATTGAGGCTGAGTTCACACCTATTTCATCTTCGTTGAAATTGTGCCGTCAACTCTTCAAAGATTACTATGTCTACGTGTATGTTAAACTACTCCTAATAATTTTTTATCTTAAAATGCATTTTCTATACTTTTTAGAATGACGCCAATCAGATCGACCTTTTCCGTGAAAGGCTGAAAACTATTCTTGACAGCGATGGTTTGGAACTAGCTAATGAGGTTTGTACTTTTGTCTTTTTATTTTGGAAGAGCAGCAGTTATCGTCGTTATCAGATTTGTGATGTACTTCCGTTCGGTCGTTCATTTTAAAATCAACACTCGTCTCTGATTGCTTTCAACCATTCAAGACTAACCTGAATTGCATCGATGTCCTGGGTACTTTCAATAAGCTCAGCGTAATGTGTAAAGCTTAACTGCCGTGCGTTTTTCTAACGGAGTGTCGGAGTAAGTCATCATTTGACTGATAGATTAAAGCTTAAACGCATTGTGAGAAATTTGAGTAGATGATTGTCATTAAAGAAATAACAGCCACAGCACAACATACAACAATTGAACCAAGTCAACATCTAGAGACTTGTAGGCGCACAAAACCAAATTAGTAGACAGACCTTTAAAACTGAATCTACTGAACATTGTTAAGTCCTAATTTTGAATAAAATTCCTGATTTATTTCGCTAGGGTCAAGATCAATATGCTATCGATTTCGTGTGAAACTAGTCTCCTCCCAATTTTTCAACAGGCAGGAAAAAAGTCTTTGAGTCGCACACTTGGATGGATGGACGAATATTTGAAAGACTCCATAGATAAGGTAACACCCTGAGAACATTGTCCTCCCTGTATTCATATACCAAATGCATTAGGAACCATTGTAGCTCCAGTAATTAAATGTAACAAAGGCATAATTAATTTGGTGTTAATAAGCACGAGTAAATTTTTCAAAGACAACAAAATTGCACGAACCAGTAGGACTCGTGTAGCACTCGTGTTACATGAAAAATGCACTCGTGCTTATTGTTATATAGGTTAAACTCCACTGGGAAAAAAATTTATAACACTATCTCTTTCTGTTTTTGAACTTTCCTTAAGCAGCAGTAGTTAAGTTTTTTTCGGTCCACTAAGGGCGTGTTTCCTTTTTTTCAATCGTTTATTTAGCTTCGAAATGACGTGGGAGATTGCCACCCAATCAGAAATGTCTATGATGTGTTAGTCTCTGATGCATGCGACAATGCTGTTGGCCTTGTGGTGAGTAAAACTTCTCTGATAATCTAGCCATGTTTTTTTCTTTTTGTGTTTTAGAACTGGTAAGTAAACAAGATAGGGAGAATTAACCTCAAACCAGAGACAAAAGGAATTGGAATTGACGCTCAAGAATTTCACAGCTGTCTTGAAAACGTTGGCGGAAATAAAGAGCTAAAATTATGAGTGATTTTATAAATCTCACTGTGATGTCAACGCATTAGAATTACCGAGTGGACTATAGAAAACTATACAGAACAACTAATTTTACGGCTCATTTTTTCAGAAGATACCAAACACATTTTATAGTATGTGAAATTCTAAACAAAGATATACCATAGACTTTGAGGTGTGTTGTGTCTTCCCAGAATGCCCTATGGCTGTGTGTTGGTGTCATCGCTTTGTTTTCGGTAATTACCATCATCCTCTGCGTTCGTCTGGCCAAGCATCTTCGACGAGCGAAGAGTGGTGACGATGATATGTATTCAGAGGAAAGTACATCTAACTACGGAGTCCCTCTGAGGCTGTTTGACAAATTCCCGAAGCTTCCCAAGAAGAAATTTTCCTGGTAAGTACTAGGAACTAAACTAACGTGTTAAGTTGAAATGCGTTAACTGCATTTAAGTTACAATCAAGAGATTATCCATAAAGTTTGAATCGCTCATTTAATCGTTTCTCGAACCACTTCGGCTATTTCAGTAAGTTTCACGTCAAAATCATATTACCATATGTATTAATGTAAGATGTTTTACTTTTAGACATCAAGGACTTTTACACAAAAAGTTAAAAAAAACCTTGAAAAGGGCCGTCTTTGAAAAGGAATTTCATTTTTCTTTCACACCATCATTTTGATCAATCTTATTTTTGTAACGGTTTCCCGACTTTTTCTTCCTGACTGCAAAATATAGGGCTGAATTCCACAAAGATATACCAGAATTTGATTATCCTTACCCGAGTATATGCCACCATTTGCGATTTATTGACGTTACTGTTCTGCTGAAAGTGGTTAGGAAATCTACCAATATTTATAAATACCTGTAAATCCATTGATCTGCTCATAAATCCGATTTGATCCACCACCCTCTCCGTTGCGGTCACAAGTTTCTCACGGTTTTGACCACAAATTATCCACTGACATCTCAGCTTAAAATTGAAAAGTGTTTTGTATTTGTGTTCCAAATCACATACAAAGTGGTTTCCTTGCAGCGTATTGCTAATAGATTTCTTGAAACGCAAATTTAGAAACAAGCGCAATTTAAACACCAAGCGTTTGATGACGACATACGAACCATTATGACGTCACTCTTGTCATGCGCGTGAGCGCACGCACATCATTAAACGTCCGAAAAAAATGAAAAATTTAGCCCGGTGACTCTGCGGATAAATTAGAAAACAAAGATCATCTTTTTTAAGCTCACATTTCGCATTGAAACTGTCTTTTTATAAACCGAAAGGACAACTTATCTTACAGTTGTTCACAGAGTGAAACATTTGTAGCGCTGAAGATGTCGAAATTACTTTCAAAGCGACACCAAAACATGCTGTGGAAAGAGAAATGTCATCATCAATATTTGGGACGAAAACTTCGTTTTGTACTAAAATTGCAGCGGAAGGGGCCTCAGTTGCCTTTACTGATAAGCCCTCTTATTGAGAAGGAAAACTTGCTAAATCTCGTTGAATTTTTTCCTTTGTTGTAAATCTGAATTTATAACTAAAAAATGAATTATTTCGCGAGCAAATACATCGCATTACTTTACGAAAGGGCCATGAAATTTTCTTCTCGCAATAACAATTTAAAAATGTCCTTTAAAGCAACAACTTGGAGATAACTTCTCAATTTTTCTGAACCTCTAAAGAACTGTAAGAACTTGCATCCACAGCCAACACACCCCAAAAATGGATAGAATGAACAATTCAATTAAATATACTTAATAACAAAAAATAAATGTATGGAGAATAACAATTAAGGAAAACACTTGTAGGCAATATGTGCGAAGCAGTAACTGAAACTCTTCGTAAAACAGAAAAAAACATCACAAAATTCAAACGCGGTTAACTCTTAAATCCAAAACATGATGAATAAAGCTCTAAAGAGCAATCGACCAAAACACTGGAACGCGCAAAAAAAAAAATTGCATGCGTGAATGCTCACGATATGTTTTCAAATTTAAAAAAATTCAAAGCGCGTGCGCACTAATTGCAAGTCAAACCAGTTAGGTTCTGTATTCTTGAAGAAATTTAAGATATAAAGTTTGTTTGCATAAATTCAAACCCTTTTTGGGAATGCTGCATCGCGTCAGAGATCCACACTGATGCCCTTGGATCCAACTGTTCATAATAAACATTGATGGTGATAACATAACATAAAAACTGAAAGCAAAGTAGCAGTAACTACTAGAATAAAGAACCATTTTGGAGTTAAACCTTTTTTACTCATGCTACTTTCCTTGTTTTTCGAGATTCACTTTGATGCTAAGAAACTAATGTATTAAACGAGAAGTAAACCAAAAAGAGTTTCAGTTACTCGGTTATTAAAAAAAATAAGTTTTAAATTCATTTTTCTCAATTAAATAAACAGGAGAAAACCAAAGCTCTCCTCTCCCCCAGACTCACCCATTCCGTCCACAAGCTGGAGTAATTACTAGCGGTAAGTCCGACGGACATTTTTATAAAATTCCTTTCTTTTTTAGGCTTAAACATGAAATAGCTACACTGAACTAACTAAATTATTTAATTGATAATTTTGAACCATTATATATTTGAATCCCATTGTTGTTTTAAAGAGGATTTTGCAACTACAACATCAATGATTTAAGTTGGAATTCGTAAAGTGCTACGATATTCCGTAAAGGGCGTGTAATTCCTCAATTTAATGACAGCCGGGTTTCCTCCCAGAGTTTCAGCAGGTTCCCCCGACAATTTTTCAGTAGCCACTCATGTCCCTGGGTACTTTGAAAGAAGTTGCGAGACGAAAAATTTGGTTTCAAAACCAATTATTTGCCGTACGAGATAATTTGACTCCTATTTAAAGGGAATTTTATTTTTTAATTTGGTTTATCTCTCAGAATCTCGCAACGTTTCTCTAATAAACTCTAGTAACCATTTATAGCAAGGGGTATTCAGAAAATGATACTGTGAGAGTGGACTTCCCCTCCAATCCACAATCATTTAAATAATAAGCTGAATTACAAACGTATTTTGATAGGTTATTTCTTGTGATCTTTTGGAGGGTATATGCAAATATGACGTCACCAATTAACAAATTCCTATTTTGTTATCCTATAAAACAAATATATTCCATTTTGCCGTGGTTCGAACTGTGAGAGAATATAGAAGACGTTATCCGTGACACACTCGGCTTCCGTTTGCCATTTTTTTGTTTACACCACATTTTCACGTCATCTGTGATTTATCACTAAACAGACGTACGGCAACGTAGTGTATATTTGCTGAATATACTCGGTTAGCCTTTGAACGCGCTCGATTTGGGATCTAGTGCATCAACCATAACTTCATCTCTTTTCTGATATTCACAGGTCTAACGACCTTGATATGGAAAAACCAGTATTTTACAAGAGACCACAGTTCATCCAACGAGAACCATTAGCAGCCGTAACAAGAAATGCTGTGGTGCCGATAGTGTTCGATGTTTAGTAGCGACAAATTAGCTACGCATGCGCGAGATCGATGGTCAAAGGTCAACAACAAAAGTCTCCCAATTTGTCTCTTTGGTTCTTCCACTTTCAGGGAGGTTCCTGTGGTGAATACAGTGGTCAAGGCCAGCCTGGATCGAAGACAGCAATTTTTATCCCCTCTTTTATCTATTTTTATATTTATATTGTAGTGGAAGTGTTATTTTATATCATTTTAGTTGCAAAGACTGGTGTTATGACCCAGTTGATCAATTTTAACCGATCGCGGAGGGAGCTGTTTTAGTTATGTAAGGGAAATTTTAACTTATAAAATTCAATACAATGAACGTCAGGAAATTTAGACCTGGAAAATTATTGTGAGCATCGGGTTAAAGAAATTAATCTGCATATCAAAACCATAATTTTTATAGTTCATAATAATTATTTTATAAAAGTTAAGTAGGGTCGAACATTTCAGTGTCGCCATAACATTCAACCAATCACGAACAGCCGTAAACCTTGTGCCTTCAATTGTGTCATTTTTTGATGCCTTTACAATGTTTAAGCTGCTTATCCTGACTTTACAAAGTCTGGGTTGTTATAGGCGACGTGGAAGTAAATATCCACCACTTTCACATAATATGAGTCGAATAATTGTTTTAGTATAAGCCAGAAAATTTGTGTATCCTCTCTTAACACGTAATTTTGTCCCGTCAGCTTCACAGAGGTGAATGGTACTTGCCAATCAGTACATTATTCACCTGTGTGGTATATACTGAATACATTTATGTGTAAGTCACTCGATCACAGAGCGGAATGCTAGAGTGTAATCATAGATATGGTGACCGGGAACCTGTTCAGATGACTAGAGGCGTTTTTAGTAGCTAGCAGTACGTAATAACCATTAAATGAAAACATTGATATAAATAACATATGAATTGAATTAACGAATTGATGTTAAACTCAGTGATAAAAGAAATAAATAATACCGAGAAACAAATGAAATCAAAGAACACCATTGTTTGGCAAAATCGTCAACTTTGGGAATTAAGGAGTTGTTGTCATGTATAACTTCAATTCTTTAACCCTTTATACTTTAACATCAGTATGCATATTCTCCATACTGTTCTGCATACTTTTCCTGAGGTGTTAACAAGGAGAATGCGGTTTTCAAGAGCTTCTTTAGTAAGTGATCATTTCCATTAAGCTTTTGACTTAATGTGTAAGTCAGGGGTGATATTGCAAGGCGAAATTAGATGCTAGCCCCACTTAGAGGTCTGCAGAAGGTTAATTGAGATCGTATATGAGCTTGAATTGAAGCTGAGCACAAGCCAAATTTTTCTTCCTAAGTTAATTATAGAAAAGAAGATGGACAAATGTTTTTTCACGATGAGTTTTATGTAGAATAACTAGTAATGGATATAACACAAAAATAAAGAGAAAGCAAAGTTTCATGAACGTGATGTTGCCGATTATTTTTAATTCTATTTGAAATTATTGACATTTGACAATGGCACCTATTTCTGGAGTGTTTTACAGATCTTGAGGAGTGACGAGGAGCATTGAATTAGTGACTTTCTTTCTGTGATGTATCTTACGCTTTCTTCAAATTTATACAAGGTCTCAGTCTTCCTCTGGTTCTTTTAGAACTTGGAATCCAGACAGAGATCTCTCTTCCATGGCGTTTCTGATCGATAACAACACGCTGGACACGATAGCTAACCCGATAGTGAAGTAAAGAATACTCAGGACTGTAAACATTAGTACGTGCCACCTATATCCTTCGGGATCTCGATTAGGCGACGGGTGCAGAGGAACAAAGTCTCCAAAGCCAATTGTTGTTAATGTTATAAATCCAAAATAGACGCCATCAAGGTAGCGCCAGCCCTCCCAGTAACATCCGAACAAGGCAATGATTAAAATCATAGACGCGCTAATCGCCAGTGTGATTGCTGCAGACCCAATCCCAATCCCTACCGGTTTTCGTCGAAGAACTCGTTCGTAGCAACATTCCAGAGCTCGGCCAATACACGCGTTAATGTATTGCGCTAGCGTTGATAGCATGAGCCAGGTCAGCGGTATCCCAACTAAGGCATAGAAGATGCAGAATATACGGCCTGCATCTGTGCAAGGCGTCACATGACCATAACCTGGGGAGGAGGGAAAAACAGAAACGAATGAAAAAGGTTTAGAAAATTTTTCAGCGAAATTTGAGCAGGAACCATCTACTGGTAATCGGTTAAATAGATTTTATAAACGATAGCCTCTATTTGTGGCGAAATATGAACGGATATTTGTCCGCGAACTTTATGTGTTTCAACTAACGCAAACAGTTTTCCGAGAACAAAGATCGAGGAAAACTGCTAGTTTCGAGGAATAGTATGCAGGAACAGATATGCGACACATAATAAAGACTATTGTGTTTATTATCCTTTTAATATTTTACAACGCGCGTGAAAAAATGTTTACGAACAGCCTACTGCATATTTGCTGCGTGGGACGTTTTCTCCAGAGTGTTCTCTGAAACGGCTTTATGAACAAACAAATGTTTCCTTTCTTCTATAATAATTACAGAACGTTCTCTCATCTTGAATTAAATTTCAAACGAAGACTTATCGTAATGGACTTAATGTTTGAAAATTGGGAATATCACTTTCATGATATCTTCAAATATCCACCACTTTAGCCAAGGAACATTTGGTTACGTTATTCATTTAGACCAATTGCGTGGGTTTGTTTTGCAGAACCTTTTTCAAGGATATCAGGTGAAAACGCTTCGTTTTCAGGTTTTTTTTCGCCTCAGATAATGTGATAAGAAAAATAGCGAAACGCAATGCACAGGGCACATGTGACATGTTTCTCTCAGATAATTTAGTTTTACTTGGGTAACAAATCTTTTCCCAGAGTTTACTCGCTACAACATGGGGTGAGAGATTTTCAGGTGGGTGTAAATCAAATATTGTTTCTCTCGGTTTGAATTCAATCAAAATTATTTAAAATTTAGGTTTTCGCTTAAACGCTTTCCGTTCATTACGCCCCCCCAAAACGCCCAATTTTAATAGAGTACAATCTTAATCCTGAAAAGAACACTTCTTTGAAAAATTGCAATGAGCAAATATTGAGGTCTTTGTACTTTGAAGGAGAAACATAGGACATATTTTGCATTTCTTTTCCGATTTGCGCCATTATTTTCTGAGATTTATATTTAGCATCGTAGAAATAAACCCATGTCATTAATATAGAATGGCCTTTCCAATATCAAAATTAGCATCTATGAAATACCACCCCCTTACGTTCTTGCACCTTAGCGGGATAAGTCGCCTCTTTGGCGCTGAGTGTAAAACTAGCTCAAGGGTGTTTCTCCTAATGAGTTTGATATACCTGTAGGAAACAAACGTAATGGAGCTGTAAATAACTGTTTTGATTTTGACAATCAGAGCTGTTTACTGGCCAAACTTTTTTTTCAATCACGGGGCTGTACATCTTATTTTTTCTTTAGGCAAACAAAAAAACCTTTGAAAAAGGAGCAAAACTAAATTACGAAGCGAAATGAAAATGACCAAGAACAGTGGGAGGGAATTTTTGGTCAATTTCGACACTTTTTCGGTCCACCATATTGATAATGTATTTTCTCTCAGTTTCTGGAGACATGATCAATGATAAACTGCTCAAAATATTGAAAATTATGACCTCAATTAGTCCTAATTCTTGGATTAGCTTTAATCGGTTTTGAGCGAACACGATGGCATTCAAGGTTTAACCAGAATAACACCGCAAACAACACGAAACCTTTTTCGCTACAAGTTCTATCCCTGATTTTTTCTCATCGATAAAAGGGACATAAAAGAGACTAAGAGACAGGAAAACACGCTGAGACTTCCATGAATATCTGACGTCTTTCAGCTTTGTTTCCACAAAACATTCCCACGCAAAAACTGGCGTTAAATAGCCATCCAGAATGCTTTATCTTTGCGGTGTTCGCTGCTGCCGAAAAAACACCTGGAGTAATTTTAAAGCAAATTTTTGTCCACTTACAATAAAAATGTATTCTAAACGCCTTCAATCACTGACGGACTTTAACTTTGAAAATTTCCAAAGACAATTGTATCTCTAAAAGAACTAAAAACATCGAAACGAGTCAATAATGTTTCACACGAGACCAAAACCCTAAGGCATAAACAACAAATGATTTACATCCTTTTGTTTTCTATTCAGACCCTTTTTCCGTATATTCATTCTACTGAATCAAAATAAATCTGTATATGAGGATTGAAAAAAATCAAAAATTGTTCTGTCGCCGGCATTATCATAAATTTTTTTTGACCGAAAACTAAATTCCCTGTAATTGTAAAGTGAGCGAATTGTCATCTCTCAAATCAAAATCAAAACTCAGATTTGTGTCAAGTGAATCGTTATTTCAAAGTGAAAAGTGAGTGATCTTTATGAAGATAGGAATTCTGTCGTGTTATTTTGGTTGAGCACTCTACTCATTAAACATCCCTAAAAGGTTTTAACGGGATTTATATTCTCTGAAATTGATCTGGTGTTCTTTATTTTTTAGCCAAATAGAGAAATAATACTGTGAAATTCGAAAATGAATGAAAAACAGGTTTGAACTGTTAAGGGTGTTTCTGCAATACACCATTTAACCTTTTTTTTTTTTTTGCAGAAATTGATAACAGCGATAAACTTTTTCTTAAATTATCACGTTTTTCAGGTAGCCAGAAATTGTTCATCTAACAGAAATCTTGAAATCGGTAACAATCCGTGAAACTAAATACATATTTGTTTTGTAAAATGGCCAGTGAAATGTAATCTTCATCCATGAAAGTTTCGCCTTGTCGGTCAAATCGGGAAATGTATGACATTTTTGGCAAATTAAATGAAAAGCTTTTCAAACCACAGACGGAATATTGGACCACTTAAATTATTAATATTACATCGCATATACATACTCTACATAAAAGAGTGATCAACAACAATAGCCTTATCTCGTTTTTTTTTGGGTGTTTTCACACAAGCATTTATATCGCTTTTAAGTGATAAGAAGTTTGAAACATGAAGTTAAAAAATGTTTCTCATGATAAGACAAAATTTGATTCGAAATATTTCAAAAGTTACAAAAACATTGCTATAAAAACTCCTTTCCTTCTGCCTGAATCATTGAACACTCTTCCAAACGGCATAAAAAATTCAACGGAATTTTGGATGTAGTACCTCCAGAAACCATTTTAATTTTCAGTTAATATCAAGACAGAACGATGACTCTTACATGTAATTAGAAAAAAATGAAATATCTTATTTACATGAACTTGCATGAATTATGTAGTGCAGAATCAATAAGACATATATTGAGTAGTTTTTCAGTTTAAATTTTCCCGGGGGTTAGTTATATTATTTAGAAAAAATACTTATGGAGTCTAGAAAGATTACCTTTGTTGTCGACATGTGATAAACGAACAACCAGACTGGAAATGAAAATAGTTTTTCTGAATCTGTAATAATTTAAACGGACACCCTACTTGGAGAATATTAATGAGGCAAAAAAGAAAGCTTTTCATCTCTGTAAGAAAAACTCATTAAAAAGAAAGTCTCTCGAATAATTAGCTTCTAAATGGAAAATAATGTATTTTCAAAAAATTGTAAACTAAAGAACGATAAAATTTTCCTGTGAAAGACTTTTTGACAAACAGGGTTTGTTTTCTGTCTATACAAAGTAAGTTGTGTCTTTCTATAGACTACGCTAACTTACTTATCTGTCGTTGTCCGATCGCAATTTTTTTAGCGAACGATTATAGGGCAACCAGAAAATTCTATCAAATGACAGATGCAAAGCTTGATTCAATAATCAACCCACCTATAGTAGTCACAACGGTTCCTGCGAAAAACAACGAACCCAATATTGTCCATCGTCTGATCCAGTGTTGGCTAAAACCGTGATCCGCTATCTGCTCGATTTGATCGATGAAATTTTTTAGGTCGTCTCGAGAAATGTTGTATTTCTCCTGAAAACGATCTCGCGCCACGACCATCGCTTTACGTTCCTCCTCTTCATTTTGCGACTCCAACGCTTGAAAAACGACAGCTCCCAAAAATATATAAACAAGGAATAAAGCTATTTGAATTACCAGATTTCTCGAGCTTTCTGCGATCCACATGCCTCCTGGTCAATGTCGATTAAAGCTCGTTGTCAGCATTTAATTTTGCGTTTGACATGCTATGAATGGTTCGTTTCGCTTTATTATTCACGTTCAGGCGTCGTTTATGCTGTAAATCGCGCTGTGCTAAGCCAGTGGCTTTTCTTCTTCGGAGACGAAGCTTTTTCCTGCCAATTTTCTGTCGTTTCCTCAGTTTTGTCAAGCCATTCTCTTAAACGTGTTTTGAGGTAATTAAACGCAGCATGGGGGATGTCAGTGCCGTTGTATTTCGCTGTTTGCAGGAAATCGTCTAGTACAATGAGCCAAACATGTGCCGTTATATGATCTATGTAGGACCGATGAATTACCGGTCATCGGAAATTGACGAAGTGTTCGTTGCGCATGCGTTACCTGCCCACGCACTCTCGACAACAAAGATCCAATTTCCCATTGCAGTTAAAAGTTTTTAATTTCGTTAATAAAAGCTTAAATTTACTTTCCCCAGTTGTGAATGACCTTTCTTATTGGTGGTACCGTGTGAAAAGCCAAGCCAGCAACATGGATAGCAAATATGTTTTCCGTCATATCTCTGGAAAAAACAGGAGGGAATCTCAGTTGTTAATAGTAAAGTATTGTTTTATGCTTTTTAATACGTTTGCCAACCCGTTTATAAAAAGAAATTAAAACAATGGGGAACACAGCTTTACGCCCATTGGCGACTTTTTTTTCGTTCTGATCAAATTTAACATCGCCAGATTTATCTTATTTTTCCTATGCAGTTGGAAATTCCGCGAGTTAAAAGCCACAATAGATGTAGGCTTTGAAATGATTGAGCTAAGCTAACCAGTTGTTTAGAAACACCTATAAAAAGCTATATCACGTCAAAAGTTGAATAATAGGGTCTTAAACTTATACTGTATTATCTTAGATTGATTTGGATTTCAGATCAAACCATTTCAAATAAATATTTTAATCCTGGCGTTGAATACTTTTAGTTTTTTTGATGAACACATTCCACAAATATCAATCGCGTAAAAATTCACATCATCATCAATTGCTATAACTCTTTATACTCGTTCTTATTACGAAAATCTTTCTTGAACAATTTCTCAGCTGTATTTATATCGTCTTCAATTTCCGGTTAGTCTTGCCAGCTTATAAAAAAAATTCTTCGCCTTTAAAAACATTATTTTCGTTTTCTTCCAGGTTACTTCTGTGAACTGCTGTGCACAAATGAATTAAGTTAAAAATTATTCATTTACCCATTATCGAAAAAACGCCAAACTGTGAGTAACTTTATGCTTTGCCTTCTAGAAGAAAAATCGAATGTGAAGTTTTAGTCTTTCTTTTCATTCGTTCCCTTAAGCATAAATTATTGCTGTTAAAACGAACCTTAAACTCCGCCTAACTTTATTTGCCTTAAGAGCATTCATATCAACACAGTCATGATTCGCCAAATGGCGGTGCGACAGGCCTTTTCTGTTTTAGCGGGATTGCCCACTCTGATCCCTCAAAAAGAATCTACTGCTCGCTGCTAGTTTGCGAACTTCGTAAATCTGAAAAATCTAGTATGTTGCGTATCTGGCAATAGCTTTGGTTGGCTTTTCGTTATAATATAATAAGGTGTTAATAAGATTCGGGAAATTTAGCTTGACGACGAACTTTTCTAGGTAGTTAGGGAAGTATAATCAAGTATTAGATATCATATCTATTGAGTATATTTATGCAAAATGTGTCCGGATTCTCTATTAAAAGCATCTACTTTATTTGCGCTAGCATGTTTCATATCCTATTATGCACGCCTGTGACGTCAGCAAATAAATGCTTTGGCAAACAAATTTTCTCTGCGATCGACTTCAAAGTTCCCGTCCAGTTTGCCAGTTTTCATTCCTTCCGAATTGAAAGAGACCTTGGGGACCTCATTATGAAAAGTGAATATACTGAAGGATTCTCGATTTGGAAAACGACGAATATTTAAACGCTGAAAGCGACCAGATGAGCTTTCAAGTTCACATTACTTTGATTCCCAAATGCGATACGAAGTATAGCAGGAAAATGACAACTTCATTCGTAGGACTTCACCACTGGCTTACCCTTTTTCACCGGATCTGTAAGTATTATTTTCAAGTGTCGGTATAGGGTTAAACAGCGTCAAAGCGACTGTGATTTCAGAGTGAGGTGTTCTGTGCATGTTTACGCAATTGTGTTTGTGTACTTACGCAAAAACGTATTTCGTATTGGACACCGGGTGGCGTAGTTAACTTTTTATGTCTACTTTTTTTTCGGTTTCAGTTAAAAAACAGGAACAGGAATTTAAGACCGGTCAAAAGGCAATTAAAAGTAATACCTTATTGAATTGCTTTGCGAAGTACTTTGCGTCAATGCAATAGAAATAAGCAAAAGATGTTTCGGGTAACCTCTGTCATAGGAAGCATTTTAGACATTCTGGCGCTGAATTTGAATCTAAAATAAAATGGATTTTTGATTTACAAAAATGGTATTTCCTCCTTTGAAATGTTTCTTTAGCGTAAATAAAAAGAGCAAAAACATGTTAGGGAAAAGGAAACAAGGAGTTAACATGCAAAGATGGATAAACTCCTGTCTCCTCCTAGTGATTTCGTCATAAACTTATGATATTTTTCAAGCAAATTCGACTGCAGTTTCTGGAGGCAAATTAGACCGCAGAATGGTTCGTTTATTAGAAGAAATCGCCGGAGGCAACTTATGCTTTTTATCTTCATTCTAGAAGCGACACTATAAATAAACAATCAGTCCATTTGGCGCGAAAATATGTCCGGATATTTTTCCGTGGACGTCATATGTTCCGAGATGCAAAAAGTTTTCCGATAGCGACCCTGTAGTGTTGCTGGACGCAGGGGAGGGGAGACAAATAATTATGAATAGGCTATGGAATTAATGTTCATTAGATTGGTAAGGCTTTATTGTTACACTCCAAAAATAGAGAACTTTTTGCTTTTATTTTAAAACAATACATAAAGTTTATTGCAACAGAAGTAGAATGCTCAACTTATTTTAAAGATGGTCGGAATCTGGTTCCGCGGGTAACTTATTCTATTTGCTGTCTTGTTGTCTTCATGGAACATCTCCGCATGCCGCTAAATCCTTGTGGGTCGGTATTTCTTTTTCAGGGTACTGAGATATTTTATCCCTGATTATCTTTTTACGAGATAGGATTAAGCTTCATCTAGGGCTTTAAATCGAAGGAAATTCTTTTTAAGTTGTTCAATAAAGAAATGATTTCTTCGTCAGCTTCGCTTTACGTAGATCTCTAGGGAATCTCGAAATGGGCAAACACACCTGTGTCATCAATTTTATTAATTCCTTGCGCTGTTCCTCCGTTCTTCGGCCCAAACGTTCAAGCAAAACGCGAGTTAAGTGCATTTCTTTCTCCAAGAAATCAGATTATTTGAGTTTGAAATTATTTGAAAGTGATGAGGGGTCTGGCATTTGATGAGTTATTTTTGCCTGTTTAACTTACTTAACTCTCCCTTTTTGTTAAAATAATAACTTAATAAAGTCCAAGTCATTCTAATCTTGTTATTCTAGTTACTTCCTCTTCAACGTCTGTCTCTCCGTCAGTATCCGTACTGTATAGCGATTGAAAACCAAAAATTGCCTTATCTTCCATGATTTTTCGTATCGATAATAGAACACTAGTGTTGACAGCAAGCCCGAAGGAAAACAACAGAAGACAAAATAAAACAAACAAAGAGATCACGAAAGAAGATCGCTCTGCATCTTCAGGATCAAACTTTGGATGCATGGGAACATAGTCGCCAAATCCGATGGTGGTTAAACTTATGAAAGCGAAATATATTCCTTCGAAGAATGTCCAGTCCTCTGCAAACATTCCCACTATGGCGATGATGCCCATAACAACGGCTGCCAGCAGTATAGCAACAAGCAGACAAAACAGGCTGAACAGCTTGCTTTCTGGTTTGCATTCTCTGTTCTGCAGTGCCAAGCCAATGTGCTCCACGATTTTTCGACCTAATGACGTCAGCATCAACCACGTGATCGGTATACCAAAAAAAGCGTAAGCCATGCAGAACAGACGACCTGACAACGTTCTTGGAGCGAAATGTCCATAACCTATCCAGTAAGAGAAACATAGAATATCAGATAATCATTATTCACAAACTTAAACAAGGAGAGTGGAATGGGACGAGAGGCTTGGATGCCCAAGGAACAAGATAGGAGTGGAGCTGTGAGACAGCCGATCTGTGTGAAAACTCATCTTCGAAATGCGCTAATCAGAGCTTTAAAAATCGAGCCAGTCACTGTGGAATTAAATGTTTCACGGTGTGACGCGTACCCAGTCGACCTTACTGGCTGAAAAAGGCAGTACGCAGTCGAAACCTCGCAATGCATATAAAAAGAATATCGGAGACAAACGATTAGATTCCATTTATTGATCGCATCTAACGAAGATAAGATAAAGCTCATAGGTTGACGTTCTAAGAATCATTATTCCTCTCCAGTTATTTTCAGATCACTACCTTCTACGGAGATTCCAGGGGGATATTGTAAGTTTTGCTCGCGTGAACATCCCTGAGGCGTCTAGCGGGCTTTCCATCAAAACATTCAAGAAACGTGCGATGTACCATGTACTTTTTGACTGAGTAAGAGGGCCAGATGGGAACAGGTTTTGCTCGAGATCTTTTTTACTAAAGCCAAATACCTTTCCGTCTGGCTCTCTTAATCTCATTCGATTAGCTTTCTATCATACGGACGCCTCCAAATCTGCCTTCTTGTATTTTGCATCAGAGTCGCATGGCCACATACAGAGCAGTGCAGCTTTGCACAGCCCCACTCGCGCCACAGCACACTGACTTTATACGGGGATTCTTTCGAGGTTTTTAAAAATTGCACGCTGAATCGCACAAGTCACCAGATCCTTGTGGTCAAAAATACACTGAGAAGCAAGCCGAGATTCTCTAACTGAGAAGGAATTAGTTTTGAATAATGAGGGATTCAGCTTTTCAGTTTGATTCTGTCTTTGTCGACATGCTTTTATACTTTTATTCGTCATGCCTTGGTGTAAAACGGCAAAATTAAAAAAACCTTTCTGATTGCTGATAGCATTTGCCTCTTACAAGAATGTCTAGACTTACATGCGCTAAGACGCACTGCCTCTGTGAATTTAGTTTGACCATACTCTTCGATCGTTTCAAATAGAGCTCATTAAAGAGACAAGGATGATTATCTGGAATTTAGGCCAATCGTCAACCAATGAATCAGTTTGCGAGTACCTCGATCATCCGAATAGAACCGGGTACGTGCGTAATGTCCATACGACCGCCCGAATCATCCCAGTCGACTCAAAAACGGAGGCAATCGGACCGATTCGTACGATCGTATGGGAGCCATTTGTAAGGGATTAGCATAATCATGCATCATGCAACGTGTAAATATTGGAAGAAAAGAATCAAAATAAAACTGTTTTTTTAGGTTATGATTACTTTAAAAGAAAACTCTGAAAAAAAGTATTGTCTTTGATGGTTTGTGCAAAAAAATAAAAAAATTTGGTCGCTCAAACAGGTGTACATCGTTTCAGTTCTTTTCAATATTTAATGAAAGCAAGGATGAATTTAAAAGGCATTTAGAAAAGTGTTAAAATCCCTCAAAAGAATTGAGGTCAAAGCAGAGGGCGTTACAAATATAGCGTCAGGAATAAACTTGAACAAATTTCAACTTTGCGCTTGTAATTAGACAGCCTTAACAACTTTGTAAGTGCAAACTTAAAATGATTAATGGAGAACGTTTTAAAATGAACTGGTGTTTGAACAGCGTAGAGAAATATTGTCATTCATACACAAATATTTCACGCGCTTTTGTCATTAATTTATGCCCATCTCTCGTGTTATTATTTACAGTTCCTTGACCTAACTTTTACCACGTGCTAATTTGAATTTGACTTAAGATCTTTAAAACATAACACACGATTTCTCTTGTATAACAGACTACCGCGATTAATCGCTGCTTGATCCCAAACTAACTTGACTGCTTTTTCTTTGTGCGAAGCTTTTCGCCTACATAATTTCGATTACAATCCCTTTTTTTTATTAATTGTAATAAAAGAAAAGTTTATTTAAATATTCGCAATATGTAAAAGGCCATTTCACTAGGACAAAACATTGACTTCCCCAACCATTTAGTACTCTCATTTAGTCTTGAGGAAGGAAAATTATTGCTTTTCTCATAATATGCCAATTCAAAAACTAATTCGATCAAAGAAAAAAATGTTTTTATGGAAAAATAGGTTGTCTCATTTTACCGGCGTTTTAGACTCGATAGTAATATGAAAGAAACCGTCTCTTCCAAATGAAATAATGGTATAACCGACTTGTCATGAAATAAGTGTAGTTTACTTTATGGCTTTTGTCCAGTTTAAACTTTTTTTTAAAGTGAGTTTTCATCGCTCACGGCATCAGATTATAAGCAATAAGCTTATATATATGTTAAAAAAAATATTCTCACCGATTGTTGTGATGACAGTTCCGGAGAAGAAAAGTGATCCGATAAAGCTCCATTTTTCTAACCATCCACTTGTGAAGCCCCAACTTTCTGCCTCGGTTATGATTTCAACGAATTCTTTCATCTCTTGATGGCTTATGTTGTACTTAACCAACATGTCTTCTATAGCTCTCTTCGCCTTCCGTATACCAAGTTGTTCGTTGTGGGATTCGAGTTGTCTAAAAACCACCATGCCTAATGTTAAATAAAGCACGAAAAGAATCCCCCGAATTAACAGTCGCTTTGTTTCCTTTTTCATCCTAAACCCGGCTATCGATTTAACTCGAGTTTACAGTCGAAAATTAAGATGCGTGAACTTGCTCGGTAGACGGTAAACTCAGTTCTTTGAATGGCGCGTAAACCCTTTGTTACGACTTGGCGACGTTGACTGAATAACCAATCGGAAAACAGAAAGACTTGTGAACATTTGCCCATGAATATTTATTAAGAGGATTTGTAATCTGATATATAGCAAACTTTTAACGTGACTTTAAAAGGCCTGTAAACGACACCTTTGCCCGACAGGCGTCGGCGAAGTTTTTGAAATAAATTAGTAATCCTTCCCAGGAAGTATTGCATCGACATCGATGCGTTAAGGCAAGATTTGTCGTTGTTTGACCTTTCTATGAGTTTTTTTTACACTGGTAATAACTTTTTTCCTTTTCAGAGATAATACAAAAGGAAATTAGGGCCTTCCCTACTTAAAAACACGTCAATCAATCTTTTCTTTCTTTCAAACAACATTTGACCTCTCTCTGGAGATGGTAAATAATACTCGGAATCTCTTTTCTATAAAAAGCTTTTTAGGAAACCATCTATCACAACAAATCGCCGTATGTCCTATTAAAGAGAACCAACGTCATTCCCATCTTAGTCCCAACTGGCACCAAACAAAATCAAAATTCGTTTATGATAGTGTGTTACACTAATGAGACGGTTTGTTTCGATCGCAATTACGACTTTTAGCTACCTTTTCGCCGATAATCTTTGCTCAGTTTCAGATAGCATGTATGGGGTTATACACGTCACGAGACAATAGTTGCGTCCAATGTTGCTCCATCAATGAGTTAAAAACCTCCCCGCCCACAAAGTTTTTCATTATCAATTTGAACTAATTGTGGACGAGGTCAGACAAAGTGAGGATCGAATATTTTATTGTACTAAGTTCAAGTGATATTTCTTTGCGAATCATTGACTGAAAAACATTTTCACGAGGTTTGTTTCCAAAGAACCGGTTCTTTATCAACAGAAGGTTTTGAGAATGAAATAAATTTGCCCACTCACAGTATACAGTTTCATTCATTTTCGATCTAGTGGCACTTTTATACTCTTTAACCCACGCACAACTTTTTCCGCTTCTGAGTCAAATGGTGATGACCTCTTTAAAACAAACTACTTCTTCGATCGCTGTACTCGGTAGTTCCTACGATCGATTAGTGTATAGACCCAACCTCTTTTAAAGATATTTTTTCTTTGGTCCAAGACGACGCACTGTTTTTATCATAAAAATTATTTCGGAATGAGCTGGAGAGTAGGAAAGGTTTACCAGGGGCTTCTCTCTGGAAAGAGACGAGATGGGAAGATCTCCTGGCGTCTTAAATAACATCTGACATAGAACAAATCCTCGAGCCACTGATCAAAACGAGGCAAGCTTGTAATTTCACTTTCATCAGTTCTTTGTCCTTTTTATTAAAAAAAAAAAAAGATTCCATTAAACCGTGTGTCTGTTTAGTTTTAGGGCACGGAGAATATCGAAATTTAATGAGAAAATAAGTAACATACTCCTCTCTGGCTTGTAAGGTCTGGTATGTTTTTCTTGAAAATTTTAACAGGATCATGTCTGTGATCTAAAACAGAACAGACAAACAGTACTGCACTATGGAATACACTTGTGAATTGGTTCCCTCTAAAAAAAGGCATCAAATATATAAACGAGGATATTGTGTTCCTCTCATATGTTGTTAAGTTCTTCCGTCCGATTAGTTGGTCGTCAGTGGAAATTAAAAACCCGCACTGGCAAACAATTTCATTTTCCCACCGTCTTCAAATTTTTTTTAATATTGATTTTATCAAAATCCAGGCCTAGGCTCACAAATTCCAACCGTGGAGGTTTTCCTTGGACATGGCAAGAAAAGGGAAAAAAAGGGGGCGTTGGGTTCATTTTGCCAAGAAAAATTATCCGTGTCCTCGTCAAGTCTCCTTTTCAAGTCATTTACAATAGCAAAGCTCGTCCGTGGAATGTCCTTCTTCTTGCTCAAGCAAAACCATGTAAGGTTTATATCTAATACTAGCTCTGCAAACGTTGGTTTTTCACAATATTTGTTGCCTCTGCTATCACTACGGTTACGAATCATTTCCCATGCCATCGTTTTAAACTGAAAAAAAAAGGATCCTATTCCCGAAAAAAAATTAATTCCGGCGCCATTAGTAACGACTTCGCACAGAGGCGGACTTTTGATAAGAATCTAGTATGCTGAAAGCGTTGCGTAATAAGAGCGAATAACAACTGAGAAGAAGACCTAGTATCTCTGAATTGATCTATGATGTCCCAAATCAGTTTTGTTTTAGAAGTATAACGTGGGAAGACGGAGTTCCCTAGGAAATGAGAGATTTATTCTCTTAGCTTCATCTCCTATAGATTCCGCCAACCTATCTGTCTTCTGTAAGGAATATATATCGTTAATTTGCTTTAATATAATCTGAGGGACCTGTCATTATTTGTCACCGGGGGACGAGTGGGTCGGAGGATTTCGTTTGTGTTGCCATAAAATGTATCTGATTCCCCCTTGAGGCTCTGTAATATTCTTATGCTTCTCTCCTCCCATTGGCAGTTAATTGGCGAAATACCCTCCCCCCCCCAAATCCAGGCGAAAAATAGTGACTGGTCCCTAACCTCTCCAATTTTGCGACATCTCATACCCAGTCCTTAAAGAGCTTTTTGATGGTAGCGGGGTACTTGAAACCAAACATTTCGAAGTCCTCCCGGTAGATATCTGCGAGTTTGACAATCTGGTGCAGTGGGATCTGGGAATAGTGTTTTTCCAGCAACACTGAAGTGTGAGATCTAAATGCTGGAAATTGAAACTGGTCATCCAATTGTAACTTTTTTAAAATATAATCAGCGTCTTCCTTGATGGTGTCAAAGTAGCCTACATAGTTATAATCAACGGCGCATGGGTAGCAGGTTTGGTGGGCTGGGCGCCAGTGCATATCCCACGAGGAAGGGTCTGGTAACTGATTAAGATAAGTGGTAAATTCTGCTAAAGTTGGTCTTCCACCGTTCTCGTTGTCTCGACCAACACCGCGAACTTTCTGAATTATTTTCTGGGCAACTGTCTCATATAAGTGAGTCGTTTTACCAACAAATTTATCCCGGTAGGCCGATAGTAATCTTTCAAATGGCTCCCGAACAAAGTAGAACTTCTGATAAGATTCCAGCATTTTCTTCCTTTCTTCTACTGAAAACTCGTTCAAGAATTTAAAGATTGAATAATCAAAGAGTGAGATGTCATGGTTCGGTGTAACCGGGCGAACTGCAAGAACGTTCAGAAGTAAATCTTTCCACTGGCTGCAGCCGGTTTTTGGCACATAGCAGATAATAAACTTGTGCTTCTCACTAACGACAAAGTTAAAGTGATTTCGATTAGGAAGTTTGTGAAAGATGTTCTTGTTGTTTCTTGATGCATTGCAGTAATTTCGGATCCGTTCAAGTCGATCTTGTTGGATCTTGTCTTGGTTCACCTGTAACATGAAACGAACTGTGATTTGCTACAGAAAACTGAAACTTGAAAATGCTGAGGGAGGCTTGTACCAATTCAAGGCAGTCGTGTTTGGATGCATCCTTCCTTTTAAATAGCTAAGCATTCCAGAGAAGATCTTTAAGGCTTATGGCGTATAACTTTTAAAAGAAACATAAATACATTGATTACGATAAAAATGCGCCTTTTTTTTTGTTTCTTAGTTCCTCTCCTTTACGTGCGTCCTCTGTCTAGCTACGTGGTGCAGATCCTAATAACGAGGTTGACGTAAAAAGCACGACCGTCTGGCTTATGAATCCGTGGGGGGTGGGGTACTTCGATACTCGTGTTCAGCTTAGTGGCTAGTCTTTGTGAAGTTTTTTGTCTGAGAGAGGAACTGAGGAGTATTGCTAATAAATAAACTGTAAACTTGGAGTAATAAATCCCGATCAATAAGGACAGCCATTATTTATCGGCTGGAAGGGGAGAATCGGAGGTTCTTTTTAGGGGGATCAGATCGTTTTCAGGGGGAACGGAGGGGGGGGGGCTAGTGTCTTTCCCCCCCCCCCCCCCCACCCTCCGTCGATAAATAATGATCAGTTCCTAAGAGAGCCAATGCAAGACTTGCTGGTAAGATTGTCAAGTTCTCATCTTTACAAGCAAGTGACAATTAATGAAACTACTAAATGACTTTTGGGAGGAATTTAGGCGCTAACAGGACTTTAATTGTAACCAATGTCACCTTAAAAAAGTGCTTCTACCAACAGAAAAACAAGTCAGACGTCGGCAGTGAGTCAAGTTTTAGGAGGTCTTTGCTCCTCAGGAGGGTAACAATAGTCAAACACTTCAGAATTTTGATTTATGTTGTAGCATTTACCCAATCGTTGATCAAGGCTTTTCCAAGGTCTTTTTGTGAGACGGTTAGGTTAAGTACTTACTGTTTTGTGCTCATGTGCAGCTGCAGTTAGACTAGAATTTGTGTCCTCGTAATCTTAAATAAAAAGACACCAAATGAATAGAATTACAAAAAAACACAAAGTATCAAATGAGTTTGGCCCCTTTAGAGCTAACCCTAAGCTTCGTTCACCTCTCTATTAAAACTCCTCTTTGTGTTCTGAAAAAAAAACTAATCCTTTCCACAATTCTAGATCTTTACTTTTTAGCAGCGATGAAATTTATTTTCATGGCTAAGTTTCTTCAGCGTGTATATAATTTGGACAAGTACTCTAAGTTAGAGAATGATATGGCCCCAGGCACGGAAGGGGGGGGGGGGGGGGGGG